AAATACAATTGTATAATTGTACTTAGTTATAACTGTAGATAAACTGGAATACTGTATTAACGAGAACTTTTTCACGTTATCTCGTTTGAGCCTTGTAAGCAGTTCTAAAATAGAAAGGGAATGATGCATTTCCATGTTATAGAGAAAGGACTCATTTTGACGTATGTGGCAAACTGCAAAAAATGGAAGAAGGAGACATGTAGCATTAATGAATGCATACTATGTGCCAGGCACTACATTCTCTTGCTCCTGACTCAGTCTGGACGTAGGCAGAACAAAGTAAAACCACAGTAATGGGAAATTACCTTGCTCCTTCTAGTTTCCAAAAATGTAAGGACATGGATTCAGGTAAACTGAATGTATATTAGCTTTCAAAGTTGGCACAAAAATTATAGAATGAGCCCCTTTCTTTAGTTCACCATTCTATGACTCTAAAATCATTATTTTGTAACTAAGCTTAAAATTTTGAATCTCACAATTAAGTTTAGCCTCATTGTGAATATTTTTTTGTGAGTATAATTTATTGTTTTAAATTAATTTTTGATAGATAACAGTTAGCACTTAATCTGTAAATTGAATAAGTTATTGAGTACAGAAATTTATTAACTTACTGTATCTGACTTAATACACCAAAGATTTTGAGTAGGTATTGGACAGTTTAAAAGAATTTAAATTCTTTGTTGTTTGACTATATCTTTGTCCAAAGAAGCACAGTTGAAGTCCTTGGATAATGGATTTTAAAAAAATTGTTAGTTTAAATACTGCTTTTAAGTAATAAATGTTTGTGTTTATATGTATAAAATAAGTAGGAAAACTACTCTGGGAACAGTCACACTGACCAACCAGTTACAAGCTAGAATACTTATTTCTCTGTTTAGTTGGATGCAGTTTTTTAATGAACACTGCTGAATAATAAGCTTGTATTTTACACTACATTATAAAATAATTTCTGCCTTAGATTTTTTTTAGATCAAATTGAGGTTATTTTTATAAGAAACTACTTTGGTTTTGGCAGCCTATAATACCTGTAATACCACATAACCATAGTTTTTGTTCCTCATGCCAGCAAGACACTTACTACAAAAGTAGTAAAGTTTGCAGACTTTTAATTTAGATCTTTACTGCTGGGGGAAAAGGGGAATAAAAATAGCATGTTAAACTGGTGCTTTAATAAAGTGACTGCCTTTTAACTGATGGTAACATAAAAGTAGTACACTAATTTCTCTCAACCTTAAAAAGTGTCAAAAAATACCTTACAGAGTGACTATAAAGTTTTAAGGGCTATTAAATACCATCCATTGCTTTTCACTCAATCACAACCTAATTAAACACAAATAACTTGATATATTTATGAACTTGAACGTTGTTTCTAGCATATCACTCTAATTTATTGACAGAAGAGGTTTTGAGCATTAGTTTTTTAAGGGTGTTCTTTTAGACCATCTTTTCCTGATTGAATACTTTGTGCTATTTCAGAGATGTGTAGCTGTGTTTCAGCTCTCTAGAGTGTACTGGTAAATAAATGACTTGTTCATTTTATTTTATTTTATTTTATTTTTTGTTCTGAGTCTTATGTTTGTGTTGCCTGCTGGCTGGGCAACAGCGTTTTACATTGTTTTATGTTAACTTAGAAAAATTGGTATTAAGTGATAGTGTGAATATTGGTTTTTATAATTTGCATGTCATATTTTAAAAGTTTCTACTGTGGCCTTTAAGGTTACTGGAGTCACTCCTCAGCCTGTCTAGATGCTTAGAAGAATCTGGCAGAAGGAATAGTGTGTCTGCCCCTCATGTCACTCTCTGTCTCTGATTGCTCTCTTAAGTAACTTGGTACCTTGAGCACATAACTCTGCACTGAAGACTTAATTCACTTTCCCTGAAGGCAACATGATTGAAGGTGTGAGAAGAACTGTTCTGAGGGAGCAGCAGCATCCCAGTCAACGCAGAACTTGAGTTGATGACTCAGGAAACAACACAACCTTTCAATAGAGTCATGTTTGGACATTTTAAGATTTAGTGCCAAATTTAAAAAGACTGCAAATGTATTATTTAGTAAGTATGAAGTAGTGTTTCTAAATCTTTAAGTAGAATTATGTTACCTGCTATGAACGTGAATAATGGATGAGAATTATTTTCTACACAACATATAGGAACTAGACAGTTCTACATATACTCATTTCTTTTGCACATTTCCCTTTAAGAATACTTCCTTCGTGGTCTTCCCCCACCCCCCTTTTGGTTGGTGTTTTCTCAAGCATATACGATTTTCCCCTACGATATCAGCATGCTTTGTGCACTTCCTTTTTGGAAGTAGATCACTATGATAAAAGCAATAGGATTAGATTGTGCGGGAGATGAGAGGAGGAATGATTTGATAGGGAAGGTGTGTTTATGTTTTGTTTATTCATGTTTTAACTTGCTGTATGTTGGTCTTAAGTCTATGTCCTTTGAAAAGGTCCCTAAACCAGTTAGTCTCTGCAGCCATTTATTTAGAGAGAATTTAAGGATGTTATTTGGAGAATAGATGTTATTCAGAGATGAAAACCTTTATAAAAATGTTTCAGATTCTTAAGTAAAGCCAGGTAGTTTCAGTGCTTGTGTTACTGCTGGAGGTCTGAAATGCCTCTTGAATGAAGAGCATGTGCACATCTCATTGTCACGATGCCGCTGTTGGATGTTCCTGCTTGCATAAAGTAGAATACTGTACTGTGGTATAATTATAGAACTTCCTTCATTCAACAATGAGAACTTTCTCCTTGTAAGTAAAACTATATTACATTTGATGAGAGTGATTGCCAAACAGTACCCAAGCTGGGTGTTTAGTTGCTCCATACGGTGTCAAAACTGTTCTGTTTAAGGGAGGATTGATGTATATTAAAATGGAAATGCTTTTGTTTTCAGTTTCAAATCATTATTTTTTGTTTTAAGGATAGTTTTTAAATTACAAAGGAAAATACAAAATATCAAAATTCATTATTTCCATTGTATGTTAAATGTTGAGTTTAATAGGTACTTTGTCTTGTGTTTCTTAAGTATAAATGTCTTTGTAGCAAAAATTCAGTTTTTTGTGAGTATTAGGTGTCATCTTGCATATTGAACTTGTTCTTTGTGTTATTTTTGATTTTTAAAATAAACAGTTCTTTGGTCCTAGAAAATCATATCCAGGTTCTTTTCAAATTACTTCAAACACTTCAAATTCAAGTGTTCTGCATGCCTCTATAAAATGAACACCATGAACAAGGAGAAATACCAAGTATCTTGGGGACATTTTTGAAACTTACAATTTTAATAAATTATACATTATTTAAAACTATATTATTTATATATTTATGTTTAAGCATGTTATTAAAATGTTTAAATTAATAGACATTAACTTTTAAGTGTTTTGAAGCTTTTGGAGAAATCTGAAGTGTAGAAAAACTGTTAGTGAAATACAATATCCTATATAAAACTAAAAATGGGCACTCTTAACCTCTCTAGTTCATTCCTGCCACTCATCCTGTCTTCTGGGAGAAATGCTTGCTGTAAATGTGAATACCCGGATCTTACAAACTCACCTCCATTTCTGTTACAGCCCTCAATGGGCCATGATTTGTTCATGACTATGGAGCAAGGCCCTATAAAAAAAAGTCAACCCAACAACATGATTTACTGCTTTCTTTTACATATCAACTCTGTCTAAAATGCAAAATCAACTCAACAATATGAGTAACTGTTTTCTTTACATGTCTGTTCAGCCCAGTAAAGTTACAAAAATAAAGGCAATTAATTCTGGGCAGGTGTTTCAGATAAGGTATGGTTTATATGAAATTTTTCGGCTTAACAGTTGTGTCTGGTTATGTGTGGCAAGCAGGGGTGTCAAACTTTTTGACATAGTGGCATAGTGCCAAACCACACAAGTTATAAAAAAAGCAAAATTTCATATAAACTGCACTGACAGAAAAATCAAATCTCCCCCTCAAAAGTGTGCCCTCCTTTTGGGCCCATTTTATCAGAGAGTTTATTCAGAAGTCAAATATGAGTGAACATGGCCTAGAGACACAGATTTAGGTTATCCCAAATTCCCTGTTCTATCGTGGTAACACTTTGATGAAGTTTTTACAGTACTCAAAGGTGCTTTTTCAAATAATAGATGGAAACATTAAATAAGACAAAAGGGAAACCTGTTATAGCTCCAGATGTAGGCATAGTTGGTTGGATGTACCCATAGTTGGTTGGAAAACCAGTATGCTGTACATTATAATTAATTTACGTAATGGTCACAATGATGCTAGGTAACTTACAAAGGATTGACAAGACATGGTTAATAATTGGGCTAACGATTTTCCCCAATAGTTGTTAGACCCTCTCTAAAAAACAAAATCAAACCAACAACGTTTTCTTTACATCTCTGTTCAGCCCAGTAAACTTAACAGAGTAAAACCGATTAATTCTGGGCAGGCTTATCAGATAAGAAGGTGTGGCTTATATGAAATTTCTCTGCTTACTTAACAGTTGTGTCTGAATATGTGTGGCTAGCAGGAATGTCAAACTTTGTAACCACCACCCTGTAACCTCTCTGCTATCACTGACTTTCTAATCAGTTCCTCAGCCTTGCCCAGTATTTCTGAAAGTGCAGTTTCTTCCCGGGAACCTTTGTTCACAAGTTGCACTCAGCTCTTCTGGGCCGTATGCAGCCCTGGGTTGGACAGTGATGATCCCTTTTCCTTTATCATCGTAACGAATTTAAAACATCAAAGGCAACTTCATTTCTAAGCCAACGCATTAAATCAGGCTGCCTTTTCATCTCTCCCGGCAGCGGTGTGAGACGCGCCACCATTTAAACTAGGCGCCGCGGTCTCACTTGCCACGAGCTCTCGCTCACTCATTGGTTCTTTGGCAGATGTGGGCGGTTGTCTACGCACTGATTGGTCTTCTCGTGAGGGGCAGTTATCTGCTCTCTGATTGGTGGTCTAGGCGGCTCCCGGAGCTACCATTGGTGGAGGCCAGATATTTGAACCGAAGCAAAAGCGGCTGGGCTGTTTTCCTCCGGCTTTGGTAGTGTATGGCTTTGTGATCTCTATCCCGAACCTGGGTTTCTGGGGAGATCAGGGCCACGGGCCGCGGGTACGAGACCACCTGGAGCGGGGCGGCTGCCATGGCGACGCGGCAGGCGGCTTTCAACCAGGAGGAGAGCGGGCGGCGCGTGCACCGGGATCCGGCGGCCGCGGATTCGTCCCCGCCGGTGCTGTTGCTCAGCCACTTCTGCGCCGCTCCCTTCCTCTGCTTTGGGGACGTCCGCGTGGGAGCGTCACGGACGCGGTCTCTGGTCCTGCAAAATCCGCACGAGGAGCCCCTGCAGGTGGAGCTGTCGCTGCTGCGCGCCGCAGCTCAGGGCTTCAGCGTGGTGCCGAGCCGCTGCGACCTGAAGGTGGGTGCCAGGGCCATGCCACCGGGGCGTGGTCCCCTTGGCACACAGCGAGAAACTCGGAGGGAAGCTAAGTCAGCTCCCGCCTTTGACAGTGGGGCTGGGGAGTTGAGGGGACTCCGACACTGGGTCAACTTCCTGTTTTGATTTGGGGAACGCCCCCTTTGTAGGGTAGGGCTGGGGTAGCTAGAAAGGGACCTTGACTCCAAGTCTTGACTATGGACGGGCTTTGGCTCTGTATGGTTCCTGAGAATACATGGCAAAAGGAGGCAGTGACTTGCTCCGGATGATGACTCAAAGCTTGTGCTCCTGCCATCCTTAGAAGCATTTCAGAAAGTTTTCAGTTACACGTTTTTAACAGATTTGGCAGTCATTGCAAAATATGTTTGAGTTTAGCGTTCTGTGTTTTGAGATTGGACGTTGTACATCGATGAAAGTTTTCTAATTGCTTCTTTTCAGCCATTTTAATATGCATTTTATTCTTCATATATATGTTTAAAGTCGGTGGAACTACATTTCCATTTCGATAATGAACTGTTTTGCTTAAATATCCAGACAGAATCCTGAAAGCATCCTTACTTAGGATTGTACTCAATATGTATATGTGATGTGTAGGCACGTCTTTGTAGTTTACTCTTTCTTTTTTCTTTGCTGTCAATGTACAGTTAAAAAGTTTAGATCTGACCGTGATGACTGTGTCCTTTTCTTGGAGTAGTACCTGAAAGCTGTGAAAACAATTAGATGAGGAAGTCTGCACAAACTGCCCGGTGGTAACTAGTAAGAAAGGCCTTCAGGGGGAAGACTAAAAGAGGTTGGTTGGCTGCATCATCAGGAGACCCTGCACTTCAGTGAACAGTGCCCACCCCGCCCCTTTGGGGAAGAACTGCCTGAATTTCTGTCTATAGGAAGACTTTCTTCCTCTCTCTCAAATTCTTGTACTTAACTCCATTTTGTTATAATATTGAAGCAAAGTTCTCAGTTGTTTTTTGGTTTTTTGAGACAGGGTTTCTCTGTAGCTTTGGAGCCTGTCCTGGAACTCACTTCGTAGATAAGGATGGTCTCAAACTCTAGTGGTGGGATTAAAGGCATGCACCACCACTGCCTGGCATCTTGGTTATTTTTTTTTTTAAGGACAAGTGCTTTCTTATAGAGGAAAAATTCTCCATTGTTATTATTTTCATCAGCCAGTTGAAAATCTATGATTTCTACTTCTCAAGAAAAACTTGTCTTATGCACTTAAGGTTTCTGCCACCATGCCTGGCAATTTAGGCTGGTCAAAGCACACTTTACCACTGAGCTAGCTAGGTTCCTAGTCCCCACAACAGTTTTTTTAAAACAACTCAATTAAAATGACTGGTACTTTATCAGTTCTTTTGCTTTTGTGCAATTAGATTTTATTATAATTTTATAGTTTGCATAATAGTTACAATTTTATTTTGTTGTGGACTTTTATATCTGGTATTTTCTTCTTACAATGAATTAGCATAAGAAAATAAGAGTAGCAAAAAAAATATTCAACCCTACTAGGGTTTAATAACTGTTATTAACCTAAGTTATATATAGTGCATTTGAATATTATGTAATTATATTATCATAATTACTTAAAATGTATTCTTCTTTCAGCCTAAAGAAAAAGTTATTGTTTCTGTTACCTGGGCACCACTGAAGGAAGGACGAGTAAGGGAGATTGTGACATTTCTCGTAAATGATTTTCTGAAGCACCAGGCTATATTACTGGGAAATGCAGAAGAGCATAGAAAGACAAAGGTAATATTTTAATCATTTTCAAAAGGTGATTTATTGGAAGAAAATGTTTGTTACAGAGAAATGACTTTGATGGAAGTCATTTTGTGACATGTATAGCATCTCTTTTTTAAGAGTAATAGAGAACAACTTGCAGCTTCTTTAGTATATTTCGTTTATTTTTGCAGAGAAGTCGCTGGAATACCATTAAGAAGGTTCCAACCTCTTCAAAACATATTAAAAGGACTCCCGAAAGCCACAATTGTAATGAAGCATTTACCATTTCACAAAAAGTTGGCAGAATTAGGAGCCCACTGCAGGCCTGTGAAAATTTGGCTATGAGTGAACGCTGTTCTCCAACAGAAAACAGTTCTTTATCCCTTGAAGAAAACAAAATACCCACTTCATCTGTTAGCCCTGTTAAAGAATGCCAGAATGAAACATGCTTGTCAATGCTTTTCCACAGTCCTACTGCCTGTTCATCTCTGCATGAATCCAAAAATGTACATTTAAAAGTACAAGATGCCAGCGTTTCCGATGATTGTAACTTTAATGAGGAAGTCACAAATCAAACTTTTCTTAATCCTGTTAGTATTGGTGATCAAAGTGAAGGAAAGGGTAAACTTCCTCTTTCCCTCTCCAACTGTTCTTCACCTGTGAATATTACACAAAGCCAAATCAATTTTCTAAGTCCAGATTCTTTTGTAAGCAACAGCTATGCATCTGATAATGGCCTCGGATTAGTGAGGAATGTTTTGTCAGAAACATTTAGGAAAGATAACTCGGAGTCTTTGTGTTTGGAATCCCAAAACGTACGTGAAGTTTGCCAAACAATCATAAGCCCAGAGTCTTTTTTAAATGATAATTATGGACTTAAAAAAGCTCTTAAATCAGATTCAGTCAATCCCATTTTATCTTCAACACAATTTTTAAAGGATAGCATGGTACACATAGGCCAGCAAACGTGTAAGTTATCAACACTATCAAATAAAACTTCCCAGGATTGGAGAATAAATGAAGGTTTAGCATATAACCTGGAGTGTCTGCCTCCAGAAACTCCCAAAGTTCTTTTTGAAAAACGAACCCCTGAGGAAATAAAGTCTCATTACCCTGGTTTTACAAAACATCCCAATATTTCTGATGCTTCTCTTTGTAACAAGAATAAGCAACCAAAGAGACGCCCAATTCTTTCTGCCACTGTTACCAAAAGGAAGCCCACCAATACCAGAGAAAAGCTACCTGAGATTGATAAGCCAAATGCAAAAAGATGTCTCAAAGGTCTAGTAGGTAAATGTGAAGAAGAAATGGATAACCTAAAAGAGAAAAGTTGTCATTCCCACCTTCCAGTTGTAGAGCCAGTGATAAGTAAACCTCAGGGTTGTAAAAATGAAGCGACACCTTTAACTACAGTTGCAATTTCTCGTAAAAGAAAGAGCAGCGGAAACATGCAAGATGCAAATGGAAAGCTAGCTGCTGCAGAACATGTAGATGTGTGTGAGATCAAACGAATCCACTTTTCTCCTCTTGAATCTACATTATCAACTACTGCAAGAACCAAGAAGAAAGAAACACTCACCTCGAAACATCTTAGCACCTGGGAGAAAACCAGCCTGGTGAGGAAAACAGGTAAGCTGTCTGTACTATCTGGAGTGGAAGCAGAGGTGAAGAACGTGTTTTCTGTTTCAGTGGTTTTCTGAAGTAGCAAATCTGCTACTGATGGGCTTGTATTCACTGGTACTTTTAGCAGTTTGTTGACACTTGTGGTGTGGTGCTCTGAAATAATCATAATCCTGCCCCAATTTAGATTTCATACTTTGTTCATGAATTTTCTGCATAAATTATAACATCAAAAATACTGCATCCCAATGACCTTCTGGTGGGATTTTGTTATTTGCCTTTTATATCTGTTTCCAAAGTATTGTTTCTCTTTTCTTCTTTAACAAGCATGAAAACAACAAACAAGTAGCTTCACAACTCACCTTCCTGACTCACTCATATCTTTCCTTGGGGCAGTGAGCAATTATTCTCAGCATGAAATTGGCTTGTGAAGCTCTCTCCAGTGACTAATCTGAAGAATTCAAATCCTTGGAGAAGAGTCTTCTAGTACTCTGACCTTTAGTTCCAGCATCCATGGCTCTGCTATCCCAAAAGCATCTCAAGGTTGCCATCTCTGATTTCAGTATTTCTTCCTTTTTTTTTTTTTTTTTTGATTTTTCGACACAGAGTTTCTGTGTAGCTTTGTAGGACAGGTTGGCCTATTGAACTCACACAAATTCGCTTGCCTCTTCCTCTTAGTACTGGATTAAAGATATGCGCCACCACCGACTGCCAGCATTTCTTCTTGAACAGAACTCCACCACGTCTGCATTTTTCCAACACCCGCAACTCCTTAATCCACCGTGTTTCCATAGCCCCATCTGAAATATCTGTCCTTTCCTTATATGGCTTGAATTTCTTAATTCTCCAGAAGCGCTCCACTTACCTGCTTTCCTTCCTGTCCTTCCCAGACAGATTCCAACCAGCCAACTGACTCACCTCTGTCTAAGCTAATCTCACTTGTCTACGCCTGAACGTTACATAAATGTAGGTCTTTGTGACTTTTAACTACAAAGTCTTTATCCTTTTTTTTGCCTAATTTTTTTCTGGCTGGAAAAATTGACATTTCATTTTGTCAATGAAGTCTCTCTTTGCCCTGAAGTCTTCCTTCCCCCCTCTCATGTCAGACTACACTAGCTAACATGAGCACTTGTGTGTCAGGCACAATTGTACGTGCTTTCCTATGTCCTTCGTTAGAAGTTACCATGTTCTTATGAAGTCAGTGTTGACTGTCCCTGTAGGACAGCTCTACAAATGGGAAGCAGGTACGTGGAAAAGTTGAGTAGTTTTCCCAGCATTCACGGAGTTACTGATGGACCTGATGCTCTACCCAGCACAGTGTCTCAGGCTAGTCTAGTGAACCTCATTTTCATTAAGGAAATAGAAATGCAGATGGTTCTCTCTTTAGGATAGCGTGTTAGGTACATTTCTGCTGGTGAGAAAATACCATGACCAAGGCAATGTAGAAGGAAGTTTTTACTGAGGCTTATGGTTCAGAAGGGAGAGTGGATCATGGCCTGGAGGATGTGGCAGCAGGAGCAGGGAGCTGGGGGATTACTTTAACTGAAAACGGCAAGTAGAGAGAGTGAGTGGACTCAGAGCGGGGTGAGGACATAAGCCCACAGCCTGCCCTGTGCTTCTGTTGTAGAACATTAAGTTGTGCTACTCTTTTTTTTAATGTTCTGGAGCATTTGTTAAATGATGCAAAGATGTGTTTGGTTAAATAAAATTCACCTGTGGTCAGGAGGCTGGGTCAGGAACTAGCTGACAGGAAGTTGAAGGAAGGAGCCAGGTGGAGAAAGGTTTATAAAGAGGGGCGAGAAAAAGCACAAGGACTTCTTAGAGACTGACATGGTGAGCTGCTTGCTATTTAGCCTCTCTGGGAAGCAGAATTCTACCTCAACCTTTGAAACTTGATTTCTTTAGTGGCACAACGATTTAAATAAGTTTTCTTAGTGACTTTGAAAGAGTCGGTGCCTGAGGGAACAGAATTTCCTCAGGCTTCTTCTCTTGCTGCCTAGCTACTGTTGGTAGCAGTGGATGGGAGTTGCTGAATAGGATAGTTGTAGCTTAAAAGGCAGCAACAATTTGAAAAGAAAAACAGCATGCTTCCCCAGTGAAGGCTATATACCTCCATAAGGTTTCATGACTCCCCCAAATATAGACTAGGGACCATGCCTCTAAATATATGAACCTATGGGGGGAATTTTTTGTCTCAACCCCACAGATGGGAAATGTCCCCTACACCCATAGTTATTGACCTTGACTTGTGTGTGGAGTGTCTGTAGAGTACTCAAAACTGATTGCAGTTCCTCTGGTAGACAGGGGAGGAATTAGAAATTGCTGGTACAAGCACCTATCAGAACACACCTTTTAATTCAAGTATAACCCATACACAGAAAAATATCCAAACAAGTACATAACTCAAAGAATAATGATTTTTCTGGGTTTTGCTTAAAAGAAGCAGGAGGCTGAAGCATAGCCTGTAGTGATATATGGTCGATGGTGTCCAAATTGTAAATACAGTAGATATTTCTTAGATCGTCTTGATCATCTGTTAGCAAGCTATTTATAAGTTAACTTTGAACTTCTACCTTCCTGGGACGCTTTTTTCTTACTGTCACTAGTCTTAAAATACTAGTGCCCCCTTTTGGTTCTTTTCTTCTAGAAGTTCTTATTGCCCTAATCTTTGGACTATAAGAATGTTTTTTGTATTTATTTTATAGTATCATATGTCACACTATTGAATGCTAACTATGCACATGTATCTTCATGTATATAGTTTTCAGGATGGACTCCAAATATGCAGACCTATAGTCAATTGTTTCTGTTTGCCTCTCCAGTAGTCTCTTTTTCACTTGCCAAATCCTTCCTAGCTACTCAATACAGACCTCAGTGAATAATGATGCTAAATTTTTCATTACCTGGGACACCTTGGAATCATCTTGAATTGTGGTTCTCTCCTATCCTTTCTGTGTAAATTCCAATACAGGCCAGATTGTAAATATTTATTTATATTTGATAATGTTTCTACCGGGAAATTCATTAGGCAGTGGAATTAACAAAACTTAAGCATTTAATACTTGAAAAGAGCATGACTTGCCAAGAATCCAGCAAGCACAAGTGTTAGTGAGATACATAGAATGCTAAGAAAACTATCATGACCATTCTGCTGTAGAATCAAAGGCCGGCAGGCTGGGTAAACAGATGATTCACTGGACATCCTTAACTGATGTCATGAGGTAACAGCAGGAAATTATATAGGTTTCCATATATATACATATATATACATATGAAGTGAAGGTACCATTTATTGCTATTTGCATCAGCACATCAGAACTTGGAGGCCAATCTGTCCTTCTAGTGACATTTTCAAATGCAAGTGAATTGCACAAGCCTGGTAGTAGTATCTCACTGATTGACTCATTTGTATAAGATGTGGTCTAAACAAATAAGTATTTTGATTTTAACGGAATAATTGTTTTTTACCTACAAAGTAGACAATAAGTGATAAAGAGAATCATTAAATTCACGAATAAATACACATGACCATGGAAGCTTTGTTGCCCAAACCTACTGTTTATTTGAAGCAGCAGCCTAGAAAGGCCTCTGTGCTAGATTTAGAGAGAATTGCATGCATTAGACTTTTGATTTGCTAACCTGTGTAACTTTGACTACAAAATTTCTCTAAGCCCCAGTATATTAATTACATAAATTATGGATGGTTATAATGCTCTGATTAATTGTGTATGTGAGTAAGACTTTGAGTTTAATATTTGATAGTTCCTGACTCAATATATTTAAATACTAGTTGCTACTGTTATTAATATTACTGAACTCTTCCCCTTTTTGCCAGTTTTCACCTGTAATCTTAGTTCTTCTTTATTGCAGCTTTGTTAGTAGGCCAGATCCCTTAAACAAATCTCAGGGAATTTCTCTTTAGAGGGGCTTTCTGAGGCCTTTTGATACTGCTGAAGGCTGACAACCGCCTAATGACTGGGAGCCTGCCTTTCATGTCTGCATTTCCCTGCATGTAACACAGTCTGGAAGTATGCACACACTAAGCTGTGGTTACATCAGGATGCTAGCTTCTATAGGTCATTAACTGGTTTGTGTTGTGTAAAGCGCAGATGTTCTTTTTATCTTAATGAGTCTGGATGTTTTGCCTGCTATGTATGTCAGTGGAGGATGTGCATGCCTAGTGCTCATAGAAGTCAGAGAGGGCAGTGGTTCCCCTAGAGGTGGTAGAACCCTGTGGGATCTGAGAATTGAACTCAGGTACTCTGGAAGAATAGCAAGAGCTCCTAACAGTCGCACCATCTCTCCAGCTCCCAGGGGTTGTTGGTTTGATTACTGAAGTTCATAACATTAGCACCTAAACATAGTCATTATTAAAAAGTATCTCCTTAATGAATATGATTTTGAAGAACCCAAATTTGATTTTGAAATTTGTTACCTTTTTGGAAAATTCATTTTGTTTTTTGATGCTATTGTGTTTTTTATTTTATTTTAGATTCATTAGTATTAAGAACGCCTCTTTCTAAAACAAAGAAAAAGACACGACCCATTGTTGCTGTAGCACAGTCTCATCTGACCTTCATAAAGCCATTAAAAGCAGGCAAGTGTTTTTTATTTTACAAAGTGTTTTGTATTTAACAAACGGAAAAATAGGATAACAGGGAAATAATGCGTTTAGCCTTAGCTTTGACTATGTATCACACTTCCAAAGTTTACAACTCTCTACAGCAAATAGTGTTCAGTGTTTTAAAGATGATTTTGCTAGTACAGAAGTCCTTTTGATCTATTTAATGAAAATAATTTAAAGGAAAATTTCTTACGCAGTAATTAATTATATTCTTAGCTATTCCTAGACACCCAATGCCATTTGCTGCAAGGAACATGTTCTATGATGAACGCTGGAAAGAGAAGCAGGAGCAGGGCTTCACTTGGTGGCTAAATTATATATTAACACCTGATGACTTCACTGTAAAAACAAATGTTTCTGAAGGTAAGCATTCTTGAGTTACAGACTGTATGATATTTTCCTTCATGATGTTTTACTAGCTCATTGTTGTACCAGTTTAAGGAATGTGCAGGATAGTTAGATAATTATGAGGAACCTGGAAGCCAATTTGTGAGGAATTTAAAAATATCCTACTGCTTATTTTGCATGAAGAAATGGGTGTAAACTGGGTGGTAAGATTTAGAAGACTCTTGCAAAGGAGAAAACTCAACTTAAGTGTTGCGCTGGCACAGAAATGATAGGGTCATTTTTAGACAGAGACAATAACAGATCAAGCTACTGTAGGCTTCCTTGGGAAGTGATTTCCTCACTCTGGTTGCAGACAGATGCTGCTTTGTAGTCCTCACACAGACTTATGTAGAATTTCTGCATTAAAAGGGTCTTTGAATTCAATGCTTTTCCCCATTGTGCTACTTTCTCTTTAAAAGGAAGAAGTCAAGGCAAATTTTTAATGTTTTTTTTTTCTTAAGATAACATCATGTGTTTTATAAAGTTTCAGAGAGGTGGGGAGACAGCTCAATTGTCAAAGTGCTTGGCGTGCAAACATGAGGACCAGAGTTCAGTTCCTGGAAGCATGCTACAAACTGCCTAGATCTGTACTGTAGACGGCAGATCCATGGGGTTCACTTGTCCACTAGGTTAGCTACTTGATTAGTTCCAGGCCAGTGGGAGACCATCTCAAAAATCATCAAGAAGGTAGAGGACACCTGAGAAGTGACATCCCAGATTGTCTTGTCTCCAACATGTGCACACGTGCATATAAACACACATACAGTTCAAATTGTCATAATTCAATTGATTCTCAATCTGTGGGTCATGATCCTTTTGGGGGTTGAAAGACCATTTCACAGGGGTGGCATATTAGATATTTACATTATAATTCATAACAGTAGCAAAATTATAGTTATGAAGTAGCAAAGAATAATTTTATGGTTGGGGGTCACCATAACGTGAGGAACTGTATTAAAGAGTTACATCATTAGCAAAGTTAAGAACCACTGCCTTAGCCAGGTGGTGGTGGCGCACGCCTTTAATCCCAGCACTTGGGAGGCAGAGGCAGGCGGATCTCTGTGAGTTCGAGGCCAGCCTGATCTACAGAGCAAGTTCCAGGACAGCCTCCAAAGCCACAGAGAAACCCTGTCTTGAAAAACCAAAAAAAAAAAAAAAAAAAAAAAAGAACCACTGCCTTAGAAGCTTAACTTTTATTAATTCATAAGGAGATGGAAACAGAAACTTGTTGGGAGGCCATTTTGCTAGTCGGAATTAGAAGTGCTAATGTTTGAAGTTGTGCATAGAGTTAATGAGAAGAGTGGTAGGCACTCTGTAGAGCTTAGTCAAAGGTTCTCAGAGAATAGTGAGTAATTTTTGTAAACTCAGGAGAGGACTTGGAACGTGGAACAGATGGACCTTTTTGAACATCTATCTTACCTTGCATCCAGTTGCTTGGTTTAGGAAGGCGTAGAGATGCTGCATAATCAGAAGCGTTGCCCCCTTGTTTTTATCCAGTAAATGCTGCCACCCTTGTTTTGGGAGTGGAGAACCAACATAAAGTAAGTGTCCCGAAAGCACCAACCAAAGATGAAGTTTCTCTCAGAGCTTACACAGCCAGCTGCAGGATGAATAGATTACGCCGTACAGCTTGCTCCTTGTTTACTTCTGAAAAAATGGTTAAAGCTATTAAAAAGCTTGAAATTGAAATTGAAGTTGGACGGTTAATTGTACGGAAAGATAGACACCTCTGGAAAGATATTGGTAAGATTATAGAAATATCAAGATTCATTCTCTTAAAATATTGTAGAGATTTTTGCATTACTTTTTCATCAGTTTTATTCAAGGATATTTGACAAAAATTGTACATATTTGAAATATGATGTAATTATACCTTGTGCAGTGAATGGTGGTCACAATCTAGGTAAGTAACATCCACAGTTACCTTAGTGTGTATCTCTCTGTGTTTGTGTGTGTGTGTGTGTGTGTCTGTCTGTCTGTCTGTCTGTCTACATCAGTGTGTCTATGTCTGTGCATGGATAAAGTGTGCTTGCTATCTGCTATAGACACTAAGGTTGCTTCAGTTGACTATGGTGAATGTTGATGCAACCAAACATAGGATTCCCTCATTCAGATACTGACTGCAGCTCCTTCCTGTACATGCGATGCTGCATTTCTTTGCTACCTAAAATCTAACAGATAGATATGTGGTCCCATGTTTGAGAAATATAACTTATTGTTTCAGTTTTGCACTGATCCATTCTCTGAAGAGATTATTTATTGTCTCTGTTTAGTAATAAGTACTTACTTGTCTTTTAACCTATGTTTCAGGACAACGCCAAAAAGTCCTGAATTGGCTATTGTCATATAATCCTTTGTGGCTTCGAATTGGCCTGGAGGTGAGTTTTCAGTTTTTGAAAGCAGTTTATTTTAAAGATTATATGCTTTCAGTAGAATATACTCTTATAAAATGTGGTTTTTGCCTAGAAAAGTGATTTGGCTGACTTGATTCATCCTCTGTAGCACTAATTCTAATTGGTATTAAAAATAAAAAACCCAGAGTCAGATATAGGGGTTAATGCTGAAGATCAAAGAAGCAAAGTGGCTAGCCATTAGTGTGTTCTTACCTCTGCCAGTGCTCAGACCAAAGGGGCGATCCTGTCCTCAGACTGCATCTCCAGACTGCACTGCTCTCCATCCTCCTTCTGCCTTATATTCCTCTCTACTGCTGGGATCAAAGGCTTGGGATCCCAAGTGCTGGGATCACCTTTGTGCGAGCTCTGTTTCTCTTTTAAACTGGATTAATTTCATGTAGTTCAGCGTAGCCTTGAATTAACAGAAATCTGTCTGCCTCAGTCTCCCAAGTGCTGGGATTAAAGGTGTGTGCCATCACTGCCTGACCTCTTTGGTTAACTAGTGTGACTGCTGAGATTAAAGGGGTGTACCCCCACTGCTTGGCCTCTTTAGCTAACACGTGTCTAGCTTTGCATTCTGATCTTCAGGCAAGCTTTATTCATTGGATCGTAAACAAAATGTCACCATAATCTTCCTGTATAAAATATGAGGTCAGTTAATAAATACTTATTGGGGGAATAGATCATGCCTTTATAAGTTATTGGCATATTGTTTCAAAGGATTTTGGTCATGAGTTATTTGAAGTTTTAGTCTAATCTACATTTTTATCATAATTAAATTTTTTACTCTTTTATTGAAAATAGAATCTTTTCTCATACAATATATTCCGATTACACTTTCTCCTTCCTCTACTCCTCCAGTTATTCCCCACCTCCCCTCCAATCCAGCAGATCTACTTCCATTCTGTCTCTTATTAGAAAAGGACAGGCTTCTAAGAGATAATAACCAACCAAACATTACAAAGTAAAATATAATAAGACTTAAAATAAAAAGCCATCAAATTGAAGTTGAACAAGGCAAACCAATAGAGGGAAAAGAGCCTAAGAGCAGGCAAAAGAGTCAGAGACCCTCTCTGTAGTCTCATAAAAATACTAAACTAAAAGCTATAATACATATGCAGAGGACCTGGTGTAGACCCGAAAGAGTCCTGTGCTTGTTGCTTTGGTCTCTGAGTTCATAAGAGAGTTGATCAGGTGATTTATAGGATGTTGTTCTGGTTATAAAAAAGATTTTTATGAACTTCATATCCAGTAGCGAACTAATATTTCAGTATATAATGAACTCAAGAAACTATATATATATATCAACAAAACAAATAATCCATTTAAAATATGGGATACAGATCTAAATAGAATTCTCAATAGAGGAAACTCAAATGGCTGAGACACACTTAAAGAAATAAATGTTCGGCATCCTTTTAGCTATCAGGGAAATGCAAGTCAAAATTACTTTGAAATTCTATCTTGCACTTGTCAGAATGACTAAGATCAATAACACAAGTGACAGTTAATGTCGAAGAGGCTGTGGAATAAAGGGAATATTCTTCTATTGCTGGTGGGGGTGCAGACTTATCCAGACTCTGGAAATCTGTGGTGGATCATCGGAAAGACGGGAATCAATCTACCTCAAGATCCATCCATACCACTATTTTTTTAAAGCATTTTTACTGGAAAACAGTTTTCATACAATGTATTTGGATCATGTTTGCCCCCCTAATGCCTCCCAGATCCTCCTCACTTCCCCACCTACTCAAATTTATGTTCCTTTTCTCATTATCTTGCAAAACAAACTGGCAAAAACAAAACCCTGCAAAAATACAAAAATGAAAATGAACCAGCACAAGCCAAAAAGACAAAAAAAAAAGTAAAATAAAATAGTTTTTTGTTTGTTTGATGTGTGTGTTGGCCTTCTTAGCATGTGCCTGTTGTGTGGTTAAAATGGCCAGTGAAACTCCATTGGAGAAAACTGATTTTCCCTTTGCCAGCAAGTATGAATTGTAGATAGCTTCTTTGTTAGAGGCGAGAGTCCATGTCTCCTTCCTCTCTCTGTGCTGGGACTCTCTGTCATGCTTGAACTTGTTCAGGTTTTGTGCATTATCTGAGTTCATACGTAAGGCAGTTTGTTGGGTTGAGAAAACCCTGTTTTCTGGGGACACCTGTTACCTAGCCCTTCTAGTCTTTTTGCTTCTGCAAAGCTCCCTGATTACCAAGGGGAGGAGTTTGATGAAGACATCCCATCTAGTGCTGAGTGTTCCAAAATCTGACTGCATGCACATTGCCAGGTTTTGGGTCTTTGTGTTAGTTCCCAGTATTGTTACAGAGTAATTTACTGTATGTTCTTTTATTTTGTACATAATTTTTGTTGGTTTAATGACAGATACAGTCATATTTGAATTTTTTTGTCTATTTTTCTTTAAGCAATAAAAATGACAGCTAAGATGTTAGGTCAGGTAAGATTTGACTGTTATATATTAGTATGTTAGCAAAGCACATGTTTTTAACTATACAGGATTATTTCTCATAATAATGCCCTATGGATTTATTTATGTACACTTGGTTCATAATGCCTAGAGTTAAAACAAACTGATAGGTGTGTTGGCTCATGCCTATATTCTTAGCACTGGGTGGGAGGTAGGGGGATAGAGTCAGAGGGTCTTGGCAAGTGAGTATCAGCTACATAGTGAATTCCAGGGCAGCCTGGGCTACATATTGAGAACCTGTCTCCAAAAATTTTTTTTTAAATTAAAAAAACCCACTTAGCAGCTACTACTATTAATGTATTTTTATAAGAGCATTAGAGCATTTTTTTTTTTGTGTTTTCCTAGAACTAATGTAAAATCTCTTGTTATTTTCAGGTTTTTTTTTATTTTCAAGTTTTAGAACACAGGAGTCTGGAGAGCTGAAAGCAGTAACTGTGTACTAGTAACTAGGTTCAGAGAGAACTAATTCTCACAGCACTGTAACAGCATTGCATGATGACATTACTTCATGAAGGGGTCACTGCATAATAGTGTCATCACAGGATAGCATCTTCACACAATAGTGTCATCTCATGATAGCGTCATCACATGGTAACATATAACAGGAATAATAAAAACCCAGGCTATTTATAGATAACTTTCTCATCAACTATTATAAAAGTTTAATTAGGTTTCTGTTTTATTTTAGTGGCTTGCTTTTTAAGACAGTTATTAAGTTTGAGCAATGTGCCTGTACTTGGTAGGTCTTTAATTGAGAGAGAAAAATTAAACTGTAAATGGCTTTCTTAGCTGATGAGTAAATTGCCTTTCTATGTTTTGGAGTTTATCACACACACCAAAATTGCATACAGGCTATGAGTACAGTTTACGGACACTATTTAGCAGCCATGTCACTTCTGTGTTCTGTGCTCTTTTATATTCCTTAGAAGACAGCAGTCTGCTCTCCTCCAGCAGCTGCTTCTTCCGCCTTACGGTTCGTGTAACCCTGACCTTGCCTTGCCCTCTCTTTGCAGACAGTTTATGGTGAACTGATCCCTCTGGCAGACAACGGTGATGTCACAGGGTTGGCTATGTTCATTCTAAATCGCTTACTTTGGAATCCTGATATAGCAGCTGAATATAGACACCCCACCGTTCCTCTCCTGTTTCGAGATGGTGAGCATCTCCCCACACAATGCAAAATGCATTTTACTTTCTTCAATCAATTTCAATAGGTCTCTGTTTTGGCTAGCTTTTCTTCTCTTACCCTCATCCTTTTCCCTTTCCTCAATCACTGTTTTCTAATTCTTGTCATCTCTAACCACTGTCTCACCCCAGTAGGTTGTAAGTCCTATGGGGACTGTATTTGTTTTAATTTGTTGCTTACTATATAGCATCTAGGATGATGCTTGCATGTACTAATAGATGCTCACTAAGTATCTGCTGAATGAGACCAGCTAAATGTCATTGTTGTCGCTGTATGTCTCTTCCATGGACTGAACATATTAAATAGTACTTAAATAGTACTTGTCCTATAGAGATATTTGATTGACTCATAACCTGTAAATTATTAAGAAAAAGTACATGATGGTTTAGGTATAATTGTTACTATTTTTGCTAAAATATGATTATCACTGCCTTTCATAGATAAACTTAATTTTTTTTGTTTGTTTGTACTTTAAGGTCATGAAGCAGCCTTGTCTAAGTTCACTTTGAAAAAATTAGTATTGTTAATCTGTTTCCTTGACTACGCTAAAATTTCCAGACTTATTGATCATGATCCTTGTCTCTTTTGTAAAGATGCAGAATTCAAGGTATCATTCTTTTATATTCCTTATAAAACCTTTTCTTGCTTTGGTGGTATGTTTTCTGTCATAAACATGTTTGTGTACCGGTGAGCACATTCAGAAGTGGGATAGGAATGGGAATCTGTATAGTGGTTCTTTCTTTATTCCTATTTTCCTGAGTAGGGCTCCGTTTATCCATGTATGTGTATCTCATTTTTGTCTTCTTATAATGTGCTTGTAGAGCTCAAACCCCCAGACTTAAAATGCCTGATTTAGTTAAATGGTAGTTTCCCATTCATTTTTACTTTTAATTTTGATTGAGAATTAACTAGGCTATGCTGATACAGAATTAACTTTGGAGGAAATATGTTCCTTAAGTCATAGGCTAATTGTGAACAATTTTTCATAAGGTCTGGAATTGGAAATATGAATTTGCAATTGCCTTCATCATAGGCAATCTCTTTATACTTCCCATATTATTTATGTAAACATAGAATGGTTTGAAGATTTGCTGTTTGCATAAATAAAATTATAATATTGAAGCATAATACCTGTTCTCTGTTTATAGGCTAGTAAAGAACTTCTTCTAGCCTTTTCACGAGATTTCCTAAAAGGTGAAGGTGACCTTTCTCGTCACCTTAGCCTGTTGGGATTACCTGTGAGCCACATCCAGACACCACTTGATGAATTTGATTTTGCTGTTACAAATCTTGCTGTGGACCTGCAATGTGGGGTGCGCCTTGTGTAAGTATAAGTTATAGATTTTCTTAATGGGCTAGGCTAAACTTATTTTGGAAATTGCCATTTCCTATACTAATATTTTAAACATAATCTATAGTACAATAAATGCATGATTTTTAAAAATACCTGAGATTTCTCTTTGTGAAAAATGATATATGAGTTATGGCACACATTTTTGTTTTCTCTGCTGTTATGGGAATAGAATCTCTGGATGGGAGCTCCCAGTATCTCAGAATTGTAGTCACAAAGAACATAAAACTGATTTAAATACTGAATACTTTTTAACATTTTGTGTCAGCAGTGGTTTCATGAGTCCCTTATCCATTTAGGCTGTATTCATGTTATTTATGTATGATAAAATGAATAATAGATGCTATTAGGAGTTGGATTTCAAATTCTGGTGTATCTCCTTTAGGTAGGTTCTCAGATATTTTCATAGTGATCTGCTATGACTTGGAAACTGATTTCAGCTTTCATTTTACTTCTGTCATAACTTGCTCGCTATGTGAATAAGTTCACTTAACTTCTCTAACTCTTAGTCCCTTCTGTAAAGAAAAAGACTAGGAGCAGTTAATGCCTAAGTATGGGATTGATGAAAGAAATAAAAGAATCATGTATTTGCTTGGTGTGTGGGATATGCCACATCTTAAAACCCCCACATTTGCCTCCCAAACTCTCCCTCTCCGCATCTCTTACTGTGTAGAACTCTGTTGATTTGTTCATGTATGCAAATGTCTTGTGTTTGTCTTTCTCATGTATTTGTAGATCTCAAACCTCCAGACATAAGATGAAAAATAGTTTCATTTGCTAACTAAAGCAGTGGAAACTTGGAATAGTTTCTGGGAGTCATTTTGTCCTTTAATGTGTTTATAATTGTGTGACTTACATAGGCAGTAACTTTATTTAAATGAACACGTATACAAAGGCTTCACTGAAAATTTCTTTACTGCTAGGCGAACCATGGAACTTCTCACACAGAACTGGAATCTGTCAAAGAAACTCAGGATTCCTGCAATAAGTCGAGTTCAAAAGATGCACAATGTTGATATTGTTCTTCAGGTTCTTAAATCGCGAGGGGTTCAACTAACTGATGAATATGGTAAAAACTGAATATGAATAAAATGTAGTGTCTTGCTGAACCTTGATGTCTGCAAAGATTGCGCTAACACACTGTCTTTCATTTGTAGGAAACACTATCTTGTCTAAAGATATTGTGGATAGGCACAGAGAGAAAACACTTGGGTTGCTTTGGAAAATAGCATTTGCTTTTCAGGTATTGTGTATTCAGCATACTTTTTTGAAATCTATTTTGAATGCTGATTACTAAAATTATTTCTAGTCAAGTGAAAGCTAGCAATACTCACTCACCTTTTGGACCTTATTCTATGCTAGGAACAGTGATAATTGCTTTACAGTTCCCAATTTAATCTTTTTATGCTATGGACAATGTAAATATTGCTTCCTTCCTCATAAAAGAAGCTAAAGTTTTTATCCTAGAAGAGCTAAATGTAGAACCCAGACTTATGTAGACCTTAATTCATATTCTTTAGTTGTGAGTCTAGCCTTGATGGCTGAGCCATATCTTTAGCCCCAAGTTCATATTTTTAGCTACTAAACATTTCTGTCATTATGTGTGGAAACTGTCATTAAAAATGTGTTTTTGTGCTAAAATACATATTTTAGGTAGTTTTTGTTGGGTTTAAGAAAAAATACTAAAAATACTGTGTGTGAGAGAGAGAGAGAGAGAGAGAGAGACAGAGAGAGAGATAGAGAGAGAGAGAGAGACAGAGAGAGAGACAGAGAGAGAGAGAGACAGAGAGAGAGGGAGAGGCAGAGATGCTTTACTGGAGACATTGGTACCTCTCAATCCTGTCGAGAGAGAGAGAGAGATGTTTATGTGTGGAGAGGTAAGAAAATAATGATGGATGTTTCCTTGGTTGCTCACTTTGGATTTTTTTGTTTTGTTTGTTTTTGATACAAAGTCATTTATTGAACTTAAGGCTCACTGACTTGGCTAGACTGGCTGGCTAACAAGTTCCCAAGATACATCTGTCTCTGCCTCCCTAGAAATGGGGTGACAGGCGTGCTGCCAGAACTAGTTTAGGCATGGATGCTAGTGATCTGTGCTTAGGTTTTCATAACTCTGCAGTGGGCCGTTACCTCCTGAGCTGTCTGAACTTTCGGCCCCTTTTTTGAAATTTCTGATTAGGCTGTTTTTATTGTTGTTTGTGTCTTTGTTTTTCTATCTTCAGTTTCTTTTTGTAGAGACAGTTATTTTAATTTTTGAGGGTTAAAAAAGAAATGAAAAACATAGAAATGTACTTAATGTTTTTGTGGTTTTCAGGTGGATATTTCCCTTAATTTAGATCAATTAAAGGAAGAAATTGATTTCCTAACACACACATACAATATAAAAAGAGCAATGTCTGCCATGTCATGCCATTCTCGAGCTGGTGCTGATAAGCAAAAGGACAAAAGGAACAGTGGGTCCTTTGAACGCTATGGTGACAGTGTTAAGTTATTGATGGACTGGGTGAATGCTGTTTGTGCCTTCTATGATAAGCAGGTTGGTCTTTCTGTTTTTGTTGTAATTTAACAAACCTTGGCTAAAGTCTAAGGAATCCATAAATCTTTTTCTGTTTTTCTTAAATATTTAGCCTCTCTACATACACACATGCTATGCATGTTCATTATTAGCAAACTGTTTCTCAAGAGAGTGATTACCATCTTGTAGTCTGTATAACCTGTTATATAATGTCATCAATTGAACAGAGTACAGTAATCCCCAAGAAATGTAAAAATCTTGATAAAAGGCAAATGTTGCATTGTCTTCTGTGTTAAATCTAGATTTAAATTCATATATATGACAGTATACTTATGTACACACATACATATATACGCATTTGACACAAAATCAGAAGGGGCTGTCGAACGGGGAGGCAGTGATAGTGGAGGGGATAACTGAATAGGCTACAATGACATATGTGTGAATTTTTGTTCACAAAATTAAAGAAAAATTTTGATGGCAGATACTATAGAGTTGAGGCATGGAAATCCTGACATTTCTATATAGTAACATCCAAAGAAACATCATGCAGAAAGGAGGAAAAGAGTAACAGACCTTGGTGGAGTCTTATAACAATGGCCACATTGATACTTTCTATATGATACATACAGATAAGGTCCTTGATAAGGACTATTGAATAGCACCAGTGGTATAGATTGCATGTTACTAGGGATATAGTTAACTGTTATACCTCAAAGACATGTTACTAGAAACATGATTAGCTGTAAGGGTGGCCAGTGTTTTAATCAGATCCTTCAGCATTAAAGATGTGACTGATAATTAGTTGTGAATTTAGTACAGTTAACACTTATTTCTGTCTGTGAAATCGATAGTGGCAGCCTGTGTGGTTGCCCACTGCAAGTGTTGAGGCACTCATTCTCAGCTGAGGTTGAACAATTAGGATTGACTTTAAGTCTTATACTTTCCCAAAGCCTGCCGGAATACATGACTGTTCACGGGTTTACTTAATGTACAATTTTATTCTTTCAACAGTTGTAGAGTCCAGAAGTCCAAAAGCATGGTGTTGGTCAGTCCATAGTCTCATAAAAGGCCATTCTCCCGTACCCTTCTCTTATGTTCTAGTACAAGTCAGCCATCCTGCTTGTTCTTTGGCTTGAAGCTGCATTAATTCAGTCCCTTCCTTTGCCATCACTCAATGTTCTGTTTCTATCTGTATCTCTCTGATTTTCAAATAAAGCCATATTCTGAGGTTCTAGAAAGGGTGGTATTTTGAGAGATGCTATCCAACCAAGGACAGTAAAGGCTATACTCAAATCTACTTTTGAAATGTTATTTAAGAACAAAAAATTTGATTATGACTGGTGTCACTGCTGTCTACATTATCAATTACTCTGCCTTTAGCTCTTATAAGGAAATAAAAGACTAAATTACGTTTATGCTAATATCTAATTAGAACTGATTGCTTCTCTGGTATTTGCATGCAGGTGGAGAATTTTACAGTGTCCTTCTCAGATGGCCGTGTGCTGTGCTACCTGATCCACCACTACCACCCATGCTATGTGCCTTTTGATGCTATCTGCCAGCGCACTACCCAGTCCGTGGCCTGCGCACAAACTGGTTCAGTGGTGTTAAATTCTTCATCTGAATCCGATGGAGGTTGTCTGGATCTGTCTCTTGAAGCACTTGATCATGGTTGGTCCCTTTGGTTTGATTAAGTAGTCACCTTCTTTGCCATGTCTGAGTTTTGCTAATGTCATCTCTTTGTCACTTGTGTATTTAATAGAAAACACTCCAGAACTATACAAAGAACTTCTAGAAAATGAAAAGAAAAATTTCCATTTGGTGAGATCTGCAGTTAGAGATCTTGGAGGAATACCTGCTATGATTCATCATTCAGACATGTCAAACACAATTCCAGACGAAAAGGTTAGTGAATGATTTCCTCATGATCACTCGTTTTTTGTTTTATTTTTTTGTTGTTGTTGTTGTTGTTTTTTTACGAGACAGGGTTTCTCTGTATTGTTTTGGAGGCTGTCGGTCCAGCCCAGCCTCGAACTCACAGAGATCCGCCTGCTTCTGCCTCCTGAGTGCTGGGATTAAAGGCGTGCGCCACCACCGCCCGGTTTTGTTTTGTTTTTTTTGAGACAGGGTCTTTTTGGTTAGTCCTGACTCCTGGAACTCACTGTGTAGACCAGGTTGTATATACTGATTTTGCCCTGCTAATGTCACTTCCTGCCTGGATTACATGGTGACTTCTCTTTGCTACATTTCCCAGAATTCTTGACTCCTAGTCCAACCTATCTTGTTTCCCTATTGGCCAACAGTGCTTTATTCATCAACCAGTAAGACAAACATACACAGAAGGACATTGCCTATCACCAGGTGGCCTCCAACTCAAGAGATCAGCCTGCCTTTACCTCTGAAGGATGGGATTAAAGGGGTGATGGTCACTCTCAATGAGGCCCAGAGGTTGATAGTGCATTCTAGTTCCCTCCTGACTTTCTGCTTTCCTCTTTTGTAATTTTCTTAGGTGGTCATTACCTATTTGTCATTTCTTTGTGCAAGACTTTTGGATCTCCGTAAGGAAATAAGAGCTGCCCGACTTATACAGACAACTTGGAGAAAACATAAACTAAAACGAGACCTAAAACACCATCAGGTAATTGTGGAAAATGAGACCAGTATTTCACAGGATTCCACTAAACTTCACAAATGAAGATGATGGAGATAACTTATTAATTACATAAGTTTTGGAGTATACTGATGTATCTTTCATCCCCCGCCTGCCCTCCACATAATATGCTGTAGGTCATAGATAACTTCTCTGCTTGTAAATTTGTGAAGAATGAGCTGGGAGTCCTTGCCTTACCTCTTCGCTTTTTTCTACTGCAGTCCACCCTGTCTCCTGATATCGGAAACTGTCTCTGTGCCTCAGTTGTGCTATGCATGACTGCATTCTGGTGCTGCTTGGGTTTGAGTGTAGGTCGGATCCTGCAATTTCCCTGAGATCCAGTCAAGTTTACTACCGAGATAAACCATCACAAAGGCTAATTTAAGAATTAATGGTTCCTGTTACGTTTTATTGGCTAATCTGATCACTTCTTATACTTGCTTTCTCCTGCTAGCTGTACTCCCACTCTTACACAGTGATGATGACATCTCTATCTCTGTATTAGGAACATTGTGTAGCATCCTCTCTAGATTCTCATCAGCGTTTCCTGAGCTGCTAGACTGATAAGGATTATCCTGAGATACCTTTTCAGCTTTTAGAGTTTGCCTTTGTGCTGTTATTATTATAACTAGTACAAACCCTCTATTGATAATAGAGTCTCTTAAGCTCTGTGGCAACAAACTGGCAGGTAGACACTGTTTCCTGGGTCCCTGGATGTTAGTTTTTCCTATCCATAAATAGACACAAACTCAAAATGAAATAGTATTTGGTTCATGTAGGGGAGGAAATAAAATAAACTGTCAGCTGGATGATGGAACAGTAGGAACAGCATTAAAAATGATGGCATGCTTCAGAGAGGGTCAGTAATGGCAAATGCGGACACAGTAGCCCTTAGCCTGGGGGAGTTTTCTAGCTAATTCTTGTAGTGTATTGGCCTCCCTCTATTATCAACTTATCTAACAACAGATAAAGTTGTGGGTTTTGGTTCCTTGAAGTAAAATTGGATTTGCAATTGAGTTAACTTTCATTTTACTTTAGTCTCTTACATCCAAGATGCTCTTGGTGTTTTTAATTTTAACCCAAACATTCTATATTTTTGAGCTGTATCATTTCTAAAACCTTTTCATCAGTTACCATTATTTTAGCAGTGTGCATCTAGCTGAATTTATTTATATGTAAGTGCTTGGCAGAGGTACTGAAAATGCACTGTGATGCTCTGATCACTTTGTTAGGCATCATTCCTCTTTCCCAAGTTTAGAATTGTCTAGTTTATTATGTCCTCCTTAGTACTGTGATGTACTACATGGCCTTTCCTGTTTCTTGGTTTATGTGTTAATCTGTTGATTGCCCTTTTCATATTTTAGAATAACAATTTGATCTGTGCTATGGTTGTGTTCCCACACTGAGGCACCTCCCATGCAGACAGCACCCACCGATCGTTATTGACTAATAATTGGCATGTATAGCTAGCCTCTATGAAGCCCACTCTTTCATGTGGGATGCTCCAGACAGTAACATACAGGGCATCAGTCATGCTTTATGTTGTTAAAGTAATGGTTAACTCAGATTTGTTGTTCTTTTCTTTTCCTCATTAAAGGAAAGAAATAAAGCTGCTAGAATTATTCAGTCAGTTGTTCTCAGTTTTCTAACCAGACGAAGACTGCAAAAACAGGCCAATGCAGCTCTAGTTATTCAAAAATGTTGGCGAAGAGTTTCAGCACAAAGACAATTGCTAATGCTGAAAAAAGAAAAACTGGCCAAACTTCAAAGTAAATCAGCATCACTTATTCAGGTATGATATTCTGGAATTATATTTAAACATTAAACATCTTTGTTGTTTTTTATTTTTTTAACCTTAGAAGGAAATATGTGATAGAATTTTCAGTGAGCATAATAAAATTCATTTTCAAGTACTGCTATCCCTTGGTGTGTCAGGATGGGATTGGTCCTGGAGCCCCATGCAGATACCCAAATTTGGAGGTATTTGCATATAACTTCTGTACTTCCTTCCCATCGTGGAAGGTTTGAAATATGTACGTGCTGTGCATGTGCTATGTACGTGCTGTGTGGATTGTAGTTGTGTGGATTCTTCAGGGAACAGTGACAGGGAAAGTTTCCTCAGGTATTTTCCATCTGTCGCTTACTTTGAATGGAAGGATGTGAGACTGGAGAATACGGGTGGCTGACTGCCCAGTTGACTAAGCACTTACTGCCTCCTTGCTGTCATTTGTTTTCTCTTTGAGAGCTACCAGTTTTAATTTGTTTGTGCTCTTGTTGATTGAAAAACTTGGAGTTTGGGTGTTTATACGTTTGAGTTTTTATTCTAGATACTGTTTCCTGTCAGGTGTCTAGTGGGCAGACTATGTCCACTTCTGCAGCTCTTTTTTCTGCTTCTGTCCTTTGTGGTAAAAAGGCTTCTTAAGTTGATGTGAACCCACTTGGTAATTCTCACTCTCGAGCATCGTAGGATCCAGATCTCACACTATGGGCTTTATTTATTTGAGTTGTTTCATGTGAGATGAGAGACAAAGGTCTAGATTCGCTCTTCTATATGTAGATTTCTAGTTTTCCCGGCACCATTTGGTAAAGTCTTTTCTTGATGGCATGTTTCAGCACCACAGTTGACAATCTGGTGGCAGCAGGTACACAGGTTTCTATTCCCTCTTTCCTGCTTTGTGAGCTGTATGTTGCTCTGTGAAGGCATCCTGCTGGTTTGGGTAGTGTGAGCTGTTTATTTTTAGTTGACACACACAATGATGATAAAATCTCTGTTGTGCTAAGCAGGGCTCTTAGGACAAGACATTTAACTTATCTTCCTTAATATTAAAGTTCACTAACAGCTGGGCATGGTGGTGCACACCTTTAATCCCTGCACTTGGGAGGCAGAGGCAGGCGGATCTCTGTGAGTTCGAGACTAGCCTGGTCTACAAAAGCTAGTTCTAGGACAGTCTCGAAAGCCACAGAGAAACCCTGTCTTGAAAAACAAAAAACAAAAATAAAAAAGTTCACTAACATTTTAGTGACAGATTCTAACAGTGATACTAAAGCTACTACACAGCTATGTGTCTACGCTCCTCCATCTCTTTAGTTTGAGTTTACCAACCAATATCTGTAAGGAGCATAGATTAAAAGCTCAATATTTGCAACTCTGAGCATGTGTCTGCTTAACTTTGCTTCATTTCGTTATAATAACATAAAAATATTTTCTAAATAGCTATTAACTGTTTTGTTTTTGTTTTTTGTTTTGTTTTGTTTTTACAAGATAGGGTTTCTCTGTATTGTTTTGGAGGCTGTCGGTCCAGCCCGGTGTCGAACTCGCAGAGATCCGCCTGCCTCTGCCTCCCGAGTGCTGGGATTAAAGGCGTGCGCCACCACCGCCTGGCAGCTATTAACTTTTAAAGTCATTTTGCATACATAAGCTAGAATGCACCTGGATAAATATGTTAATTATACATTTTGTTATGAAGAAACACAATATAGTACACATACTAGCATGTCTTGAAAGGCAAACCCATGTGATAGAAGACAATGCAGCTTGCAGCAACGGGAGTCAGCAGAATGAATGTTTCTGTAGGGTGTGCTTAGACAAGCTTGGGACCTTCACAAGGAGACATGCTGCAGGAGTGCCGGGCCAGTAAAGTTGGAGCTATTTCCTTCTTTGATTTTATATACAGTCATCTATATGTCTCAGACATAGAGAATTTGTTCCCGTTCCCTAAGAGATTCCATAATTCTGTGTATGAGCAAGATTGTTATAAAATAGCATGGTATTTGCATTGTCACAGCCACCGGCGTACTTAGCATCTCTGGACTGCCTCCTACAATGACTGCTTGTCAACAGTTATTGGCTTTGATGTCTAGAACATTATGTCAAGAAACAAGAACAAAACCTGTAACCCTTCAGCACTTTTTTTCTTCCCTTTTAGAACATTTTAACATTTGGAATATGGTGAACTACCTGATGTGGGTGCTAGGACCCAAATTCGTGTTTTCTGGACCTGGCTGGCTGAGCCAGCCCTTACCATGATTATTTTAAATCAGAATGCTAGAACAATGAGCATTTTTGAGTGTTCAATTCAGAAGTCTATGTCTGTTTTACTTTGTTTCCTTTCTTGCCTTTCTCAGGCCTATTGGAGAAGATACTCCGCCAGAAAATGGTTTCTGAAGTTGAAGTACTACTCAGTCATCCTACAGTCTAGGATAAGAATGAAAATTGCTCTTGCAGCTTACAAACGATATCTTTGGGCCACAGTTACTATTCAGAGGCATTGGCGTGCGTGCTTAAGAAGAGACCAAGATCAACAAAGATTTAAGATGCTGAAATCTTCAACCCTTGTCATCCAGTGTATGTTCAGAAGATGGAAGCGACGCAAGCTGCAGTTACAAACTCAAGCGGCAGTAACATTGCAGCGAGCTTTCAGAGAGTGGCATCTCAGGAAACAAGCAAGAGAAAGATCCGCTGTTGTGATACAGTCATGGTATAGAAGGCACAGGCAAGTGCAGAAATATACTCGTATTAGATCTTGTGTTGTAGCCATTCAGAGAAGATTTCGGTGCTTTCAAGCCCAAAAGCTATACAAGAAACGGAAGGACGCCGTCCTGACTCTCCAGAAGTACTACAGGGCATACCGGAAGGGGAAGCTAGCACGCACTGACTATCTTCAGAAACAAGCTGCCGCCATTCGACTGCAGGCTGCATTCAGGAGGATGAAGGCTCGTAATTCACACAGGCAAATTCGAGCTGCCTGTGTTCTTCAGTCCTATTGGAGAATGAGACAGGAAAGAGTTCGATTTTTAAACCTGAAAAAGATGGTTATCAGATTGCAAGCACACGTAAGAAGGCATCAACAGTTGCAGAAATATAAGAGAGTAAAGGAAGCAGCTATCATAATTCAGACTCGTTTCCGAGCTTCCATCTCAGCCAGGAAGGCTCTAGCATCTTATCAAAAAACACGGTCTTCAGTCATCGTTCTACAGTCTGCATATAGAGGGATGCAAGCCAGGAAAATGTTTACTCATACTTTAAAGTCTGTTATAAAGATTCAGTCATATTATCGGGCTTATATATCCAGAAAGAAATTTCAGAGCTTCAGAAAGGCCATCATAAAGCTGCAGTCCCTTGTCAGAATGAAACACACACGTAAGCAGTATTTACATTTAAGAGCGGCTGCACTCTTTATCCAGCAGTGGTACCGTTCCCAAAAGCTGGCTGCACAGAAGAGAAAAGAATACTTGCAGGTGCGTGAATCCTGTGTCAAACTGCAAGCATATGTTAGGGGATGCCTGGTCCGAAGGCAGATGAGGATGCAAAGCAAAGCTGCCATTTCGCTGCAGTCTTACTTCAGAATGAGGAAAACGAGGCAGCGCTACCTGAAGATGTACAAGGCGGCTGTTGTCCTTCAGACTTTCTACCGTGCCTACAAAGCCCAGGTCAGTGAAAGGCAGAAATACTTGCAGGTCAGAGGAGCAGCTGTTTGTTTACAGGCAGCTTTCAGAGGCCACCGAGTACGCCAGATAATCAGGCAACAGTCCACAGCTGCCGTTACCATTCAGAGGGCTTTCAGAGGCTACAGTCAGAGGGTGAAATTCCAAACTGTGCTCCAGTCTGCTGTGAAGATTCAGAGATGGTACAGGGCACGCAAGATTGCTTGTGATGTGCGAACCCAATTTCTCACGACGCGAATGGCTGCGCTTTCCCTCCAGTCCGCCTACCGTGGCTGGAGAGTTCGGCAGCGGCTCAGGCGGGAGCATGAGGCTGCAGTGAAGATCCAGTCTGTGTTTAGAATGTTCCTGGCCCTGAGACGGTTCAGACTGCTGAGAACAGCAGCGATAGTCATCCAGCAGCATGTCAGGGCATGGGCTGCAGGAAAGAGGCAGCGCTTGGAGTACCTGGAACTCCGTCGTGCTGCTCTGGTGTTTCAGGCTACATGGAAAGGAAAGACCCTGAGAAGACAGATCGCGCGGCAGCACGAATGCGCTGCCCTCATACAGTCTTATTACAGAATGCACGTCCAGCGGAGGAAGTGGAGGATCATGAGAACAGCCGCTCTTCAGATCCAGGTGTTTTACAGGACTTACAAAGCTGGACAGGAACAGCGCTGTTTATATTTGGAAACAAAAGCAGCTATAGTAATTTTACAGTCAGCTTACCGTGGTATGAAAGTGAGAAAGCGACTAAAGGAATGCAACAAAGCAGCAGTCACTCTACAGTCTAAGTTTAGAGCCTACAGAGCCCAAAGGAATTACACAAACTACAGAACCTCAGCTGTGATAATTCAGAGATGGTATCGGAATCTTCAAATTACAGCCCAGCAGCGTCGGGACTATCTTAACTTAAAGAAAGCAGCAGTTAAAGTTCAGGCTGTGTACAGAGGCGTTAGAGTAAGAAGACACATCCAACACATGCACGTGGCAGCCACACTTATTAAAGCCATGTTTAAGATGCATCGGTCGAGAGTCAGATACCACGGGATGAGAAGAGCAGCTGTTGTAATTCAAAGGAGATACAGAGTGTATCGTCTAGGTAAAATTCAGCGTGAAAAGTACCTGTCAACTCTGCAGGCTGTTAGAACTCTTCAGGCAGGTGTCAGAGGAGCGCAAGTCCGGCAGACTGTAAGAGAGATGCGGGTCGCGGCCATACTCATTCAGTCGCACTTTAGAAGATACAGACAGCAAACTTACTTTCATAGGTTAAGGAAGGTGACAAAAATGGTGCAGCAGAGATTCCGAGCAGTGAGAGAAAGGAACATTCAGCGTCACAACTACCATATACTGAGACGCTCTGTAATACTTATTCAGGCTGCCTTTAGGGGACTGAGAGCTAGGAGACATCTGAAAGCTATGCACGAGGCTGCCACTCTCATTCAGAGGAGATACAGAACTCTCCTCGTGAGAAGAAAATTCCTCTCTCTCAGGAAAAGTGTTATTTGGGTCCAGAGACAATTCCGTGCAAATCTTCACACCAAGTGTCGCCGACAGTTTCTGTTGGAAAAGGCAGTTGTTAAGATCCAGTCATCATACAGAGGATGGGTGGTGAGGAAAAGGATGGAGAAGATGCACAGGGCTGCCACTGTCATCCAGGCCACCTTCAGGATGCACCGAGCCTGCGTGAGGTACCAGGGTCTGAAGCAGGCCTCGGCTGTGATCCAGAAGCAATACCAAGCACATGCAGCTGCAAAACTACAGAGGCAGCTTTTCGTCAGACAGAGACATGCTGCTGTGACCCTTCAGGCTGCCTTTAGGGGGATGAAAGCCAGACGTCAGCTGAAGACTATGCACTCTTCTGCCACCCTTATTCAGAGGAACTTTAGAGCTTTAGTAGTAAGGAGGAGATTCATTGCCCTCAGAAAAGCTGCCCTGTTTGTTCAGAGGAAATACCGAGCCACGGTTGACACCAAGCATAAATTGTACCACTTCTTGCAGTTACGGAAGGCAGCCATTACAATACAGTCATCTTATCGAAGACTAGTGGTAAAAAAGAAGTTACAAGAAATGCACAGGGCTGCAGTCCTTATCCAGGCTACTTTTAGAATGCACAGGACATATGTTAGGTTTCACACTTGGAAACGTGCCTCGATCATAATTCAACAGCATTATCGAATGTACAGAACTATGAAATTACAAAGAGAAAAACTTATGGGACGTATTGGACAGTGGGATTCTGCTGTGGCTGCACATAGAGGAATAAAAGCAAGCTGGCGTTTCAAAGAAAAACACAGTGCTGCTGTCATAATACAAAGCACATATAGGATGCATAGGCAGCGCCGTTTCTACCAGCAGCTTCGGTGGGCAGCAAACATAATACAAGAAAAATATCGAGCAAATAAAAAGAGACAGCAAGCTCTTCTGCTCCATGCGTGTAAGGAAGAAACAACTCTTATGCAAATGCATCTTCAGGATTTGAACACTACAAAACAAATTCAGGACCAGCATGAGGCTGCCGTGATTATTCAGAAGCATTTTAGAGCCTTTAAAGCAAGGAGGCATGCAGAGTGTGAAAGAGGCTTCCAGGTAAGTAATTTGTCCCAGAATCACCTGGCTGCCACTCTAGAGTCACTCTGTCAAATGCACGTGCTAAAGCTCTTTATTGAGCAGAAAAATATATGTTTTTGTGGTGGTGCTGTAGCATTATTATGGATCAGTTTTGAAAAGGAAATAAAATGTTAGCAATTCAGCAGATACAACCTTCATGGCCACAGGGATCAGAGAGAAGGGACTGAGATGATGATGGGGCTCATTGTAGAGCACCAGACTATAGTGTCTCACAGATATTCCAGCAGGGTGTCACCATGTCTGGAGGTCAGAAGAGCAGTGGTTTTTTAGTTTGATTTGTACATTTTTATCACCTACTGATAACTGAACCTGTGGAAGGAAGTCTAGGAAGAAGAGGGCCTAAGACTGGGATCTGGAGAACATAAGAGCTCAAGAGTATTGAGCAAAGTCTATGTGACCCTAAGAAAGAAAGAAGAAACCAAGGACATTGGTATGAAGAAGCCAAGGGCTGGGGAGAACAGGAAGTGTGCTCAAATTCCAGATGCTGTGAATCACTGGGTGTTTTAGTTTTTAGTTAAGGATATCATCAGCTATATGACAGAAAAGTTGAACTGATCTCATGGAAAGGCAATTGAATTATATTTTGTACAAATAGGGGCTTAGGGAGGTATTTCACTTCAATTGGGAGGTATTTAGCTTTCAAAATTCTGCTGCATAGACCATATAATCACGGATGTGGAGAGGGAGCTGCTGCTCTTTCTCTCCAGAAAGTGGAGTTTATCTTATTTCTGTTCTTCCGGGTGTATTGAGGACAGTGAGCGTCTATCTGGCTTTTCACAAATCATGCATAGCTTACAGTTTTAAACTTCCGATTAGGCTGTGCTGAAGTGGGCTGGCAGTCAGTCATAGTGCACATGATAAAGTATGTCCTGCACATCCACTATTGTAATAACCACTGCTGTCAGAAGGCTCACTGTGTCTGTCTAGTAAACAGGCAAAATCCAACTTGATTTTTATAATTAATGTTTTTCCATTAATTGCATATTAACTGTTTTAATATAATATCAGTTGCATAAATTCTTTCTAGTTCATAATCTTTGACCATTATTATATCCTTATTGTATTTATATGCTTGATATAGGCTGGATTGAGGAAGTCTAAAGCTAAGAAATACTTATCCAAAGTGGAAGCTGCCTGCAGGATTCAAGCCTGGTATAGGTGTTGGAAAGCACGCAAGAGATACCTAGCTTTAGTAAAAGCTGCTAAAATTATTCAAGGATACTTCTGTGCCAAGATGGAGAGAATGAGGTAATGTATTGAAACTCTTTGGAAGTGTGTAGGATCCTAGGTAAAGTAACACTGCTTATTTTCAATTGTTTTTGTTCAATTTCTATATTTTTAAAGGTTGTGTGTTTTCACATGAAATACATCTTTTGAGATTAGTTTTCTTATGTAAGTATAACTTTGATAATATAATTTAGTAAAACTTTTTTTTTTTGTTGTTTTTTTTTTTGTTTTTTACGAGACAAGGTTTCTCTGTGTTGTTTTGGAGGCTGTCGGTCCAGCCCAGCCTCGAACTCACAGAGATCCGCCTGCCTCTGCCTCCTGAGTGCTGGGATTAAAGGTGTGCGCCACCACCGCCCGGCTAGTAAAACTATTTATATGCGTAATTCAAATCCAGAAGAATGAATGTAAAGTGAGTGAACTGGTCCAGTATTGATTTGTACTTTTTGTTGATTTAGCCACTGGCAAATACTGTTAATTTTGCGTGTGTGTGTGTGTGTGTGTGTGTGTGTGTGTGTGTGTGTGTGTGTGTGTGTGTGTGTGTGATATGTATGGGTGATAGAGACAGGTTATCAATGTCCACTTATTATTTGAGACAGGATGTTTCACCAAACTTGTAAGTTAGCTAGAATGACTACCCATCAAGCTGTAGATCTACCTGTCTCCACCCACACCTTGGTGCTAGGGTTACAGACATGCTCAGCTATGTCTGGCTTTACATGGATGACCTGGATCTGAATTCAGGTCCTCATGCTTGTACAGCAGACACTTTACTGATTGAGCAGTCTGGGTTTTGTTTTTGGTATATGGTGTATTATTTTCCTTCTACATTTTCCTTAATGGTGAAGAGCCTGATTATCAGCCTGTCCTGACAGAATTTACTTTTCTATTCCTACTTAATGTCAAACTGTTCAGAAAATTTTACTAGATATCTTTTTTATTTTAATGCCATAGTGTAAGATTTTCCTTTATCCAGAATTAATGAACCACTGCATCAGTAATTGCTTAAAATTCACTAAACAGGACTTCAAGGGTTTGAACAACTCGTTGACCAATACTGTTGGAAATGGTTTACGATGTAGGTGATGCTTACTATCAGTATTAAGGTATATGCTTGAATTTTCTGTACCAAAAATGATGACCTTTTCTCTTTGATACTTTCCTTCTTAAGAATCATGGTATTAAGAGAAGCTAATCATTATTCTCTAATTCAGTATCAAGTTCATGTCCTAGAATCGATCTTTTCCAGTAGTGTCCCTTGTCCTTTGATGATTTTATTTCAGTCACTACTTCCTTCATCTAGTAATTCTTCTAATTCCTAATAAGACTATTGGAAAATGTACAAAATTCTTTGTCCTACTGGATTTCAGAGTTTATATTTTATGCAATAGGAGATTGCTAATTGCAAAACTGGCTCTCATTGTATATGTAAAAATGTAACCACTGGAGCTAAAGTACGAGGTACATGTTTGCATTTTGTGTCATTGCCTTTCTTCCTCAGTATTGTGGGGACTACGCTGACTAGATTAAACTGATTTAAAGTTATTCTAATCTACTTTCAGGTTCTTGAAGATGAGAGCATCAGCAATTATAATCCAGAGAAAATGGAGATCTACACTGTCTGCAAGAGAAGCTCGTGAAAAGTTGATTTTAAAAGTAAGTATAAATAAAAGTCAACTCATTTGCACAATCATTAACTCAATTCAACTTACACAGCCATCTAACAAGGTGACTGGTTGTCATAGATTTTGTTTTGCTGTTGTTCTGTGGTCCTGTGTCTTCCCAGAGATGGTCACCCCAAAGATATAAAATGGATTTAAAAAAAATTTAATGCAGTAACACTTGACAAAAGTACTTCCAAGACTGTCTGGTCTTTGTGTTTGGAGGAAGTAGCCTTTTGCTACTCTCCAACATCTCTAAGAACCATTCCTGTGATGACCACATCTTCACTAAGAAGGATTCTTTTTTTTAGGAAGACCTTGACATTGGGGATAAGGATATGTGAACTCCTGCATAGGGAAAAATAATTCAATTTGAAGTTTAAAGGGACAAAACATGTATTCATTATATCTAATTAGAAATCTCAAAGGTCACAGTAGAAAGCTTTTACAAGAGCCTCCCCCCTCTAATTGTGCTGAATTTTCTGATGCTGGGGAAATGAAAATTTCCAGCTTTCATATCTCTGTATCTTAACATCTCTGCTTGGAATGCTGTAATCTTTACGAACCTTATACCTGCCTCTTCTTGAGTACTACAGATCTGCCTTAAAACCTGCCTTCCAGCCAGCTTGTTAACCTAAATGCTGTGTTTCTTTAGTAAAGGGCCCAAATTCTGCTTTTGTATCTTGTTATATGAGTTATCATATTAGAACTCTTGTGTAGTTAAGAATTATAATTACTTTGAATTAAAGTGAAAATAACTGTTGACAGTTAATGCATTTCATTTATCTAATTTTATGTGCTTAGACAATAATTTTTTCTGCTTTAAAATATTTAAATGTATGTTGCTTATATTTCTATTGAAACTTTTTCTCTCTGTACTTTAGGTTTCAGAAAAGAAAGCCAAAATTCGACTTCTCCACTTTACAGCGGCTGCATACTGTCACATGTGTGCGCTTAGAATCCAGCGAGCGTACAGAATCCATGTGGCTGTGAGGAATGCACAGGAACACATTAATTCAGTCATCTCTATTCAGGTTAGCTTGTCCTCTGCACTCACTTTTCCATGCACTTAGATAAGGTAAGGATATTTAGACTGTTGGGTGATTGCTCATAGAGTGAGTTAAGGATGAGAAACTGGTCACTGTTTTGTGAGCCAGAAATATGAGTGATCATCCACTGATGTAGTTGTACTCATCTTCATCCCCCCTCTCTAGATATTGTTTCTCTGCATCCGCGTCCAGCAGTGGCCTCGGAGACACCCTGATTGAATGGGAATAGAATTACATCTTTGTTTTGGATTTAGTTGTTTACAGTCATTTCTAGTTTTTTCCATATTTATAAGTCATTTAAGTTCTTACCTGAGTATTGTTTATTATTTAAAATATTTTAATGCAGTTAGCCTAGTTTTCTATTTGATATGCACATTGTAAAATTTATAGGGGAAATTTTTCCTTTTGTATATACTGATATATATTTATATATAAAATATTGGGGTAGAAAACAACTTGCATAATGCGGCAGAGTGTGATAAAACTCATACATTGTAAATTGTGCCTACATATATCCAAAAGCGCTAGAAGAATCTGCTCCAAGTAGAGTGGGAAAACGATGCCGCAAAGTAAGATGGAGGACCAAAAGTTATATCAATATTCCTTTCATTTTTTACATATAAATTTGTATACACATATGAACATATATGCATACACATATCCATAGATCTTGTGTGTGTGTGTATGTGTATTTTATTCACATGTATTCTGAAATAAAAGTGAAAAACCATGTTTTGGATAGAGATGGTTTCGAAGAAGATTACAACAAAGGAAGTGTATTGAACAGTATCATAAGATCATAAAAACTGACCATGAAGTTCAAGAATGTCGGCACCAGCAGAGTAGGGCTGCCTCAGTGATACAGAAGGCAATACGCCACTTTCTCCTGTGCAGAAGACAGGAAAAAATCAATAGCAGTGCCATTAAAATTCAGGTAAGTTCAAGTCTAGTTTTAGCCTAAGACTATAATCTGGGTTGCAGCTTCAGTTGAAATATAGGTTCAAAACATTACTGGCTGTCATTTTTAAATGACTCTGTTGTGTCTGTTTGTTAAGGCATGGTGGAGAGGCTATTCTTGGAGGAAGAAAAATGATGGCACAAAAATTAAAGCTATCCGCCTAAGCCTTAGAGCTGTCAATAGGAACGTTGAGGAGGAGAACAAGCTCTACAGAAGAACTGAGCGTGCCCTTCATCACCTACTGACGTACAAGCACTTGTCTGCCATTCTGGATGCTCTGAAGCACCTGGGTTAGTTCACTGTAGCAATGCTGGGTTAAGAGTAGGACTTCATTTTCCTGAGGGTGGGGAATAATACAGTGTTTCCTGAAACTCTTGATCCGTTGCTGTGAATTTCCTTGTTTATTCATCTGTTTCTCTCTCAGAGGTCGTTACCAGATTATCTCCACTTTGCTGTGAGAACATGGCTGAAAGTGGAGCAGTTTCTACAATCTTTGTTGTAATCCGAAGTTGTAATCGAAGTGTTCCTTGTATGGAAGTTGTTGGATATGCTGTTCAAGTACTGCTGAACGTAGCAAAGGTAGCTTCTCACTTTAATAACAAAATATTGTTGTCAAGAAATAGGACCCGGCAAATTAAACTTTATGTTGGCTCATTATTAGATCAGGCTTCTGTCTTTACATTCATTTATGTTCAAGAGTCTTCCTAAGAGTTAAAAAAAAAGTTCAATCTATTAACATAACTGTATATGGAAACACTAATTTTTATATGATTTAATTTATTTTGCTCATAATATATTATGTTTACCTTTTACTGTCTACATGCTAGTGATGTATGAGTTACTTCATTTTGTGTAGCTATCTAAAGTAGTTCCTGTTCCATTTTACAAAGAAGATACAGCAATAGGACTTACTGCAGTTACACACAGTCCAGGCATTAAGAGGAAAGGCTTCTGATGACCTGACCCGCGTGAACCCCCTTCCTGTGTTGATGAGAGGTGATGGATGAGAGAAGGCTCCATGCCAAAGTCTGTGTCTGGGCCCCACATCTCTATGTTGTTGCAGCTTATGTAAAGTGTCTCTTCATGCTTTTCACCGGTAAAATAAGTGCAGTACCCGACCACGCTGGGTGTTACTGAGAATAGAGAGGTTCTCATCACAGCAGAGGCGCTTCTCCAAAGAGACCACAGTGTTAGCTAGTGGTGTTTTGTTATTTTAATATTGTTATAGTGCACGTTTCCGTGTGAATCTGATGACATGGTTGGGCAAATAAGCCACTAGAAATGTATTTTAGACTCAGTACTAAAATTATCATTTCATTTTATAGCAATTTCATCTTCTCAAGAAACGAGTAATCGAGTAGCTAACTAGATCTTCTCTTTACTGTTATTCTATGTGGTAGTCACAGAAAGTTACCTTGTGAGAATCTTCCTACCATGACCTTTAAAAGCTTCCTTTTATCCACTTTAGGATATTGTCTCTCTGTCTGTCTCTCTTTATTTAGACTCTAGCTTACTTTAAAACTGTAAAAATGGGTGGAGTAAAATGATTAAGATGGGAACATGTGTGTAATACAGTATCAGAAATAACAAAATGTCATTATTAAATCTTTCACTGCTGCAGATGCTCCAAAAATTTGGCTGTAGCCTTATTTTGTGGTTAGACTGTTTAAAGGCATGTGTTCCTTATAAGTGTTAATTCATTCTTGTGTATTCAAGTATGAGAAGACAATCTCAGCAGTTTATGATGCTGAAAACTGTGTGGACACGCTGCTGGAACTTTTGCAAGTGTACCGAGAGAAGCCTGGTGACAGACTTGCCGAGAAGAGTGCGACCATTTTCACAAGAACTTGCTGCTTATTAGCTGTGCTGTTGAAGACAGAACATTGTGCTTCTGTGAGTAGCGCTTGCTCCTAGGTTTTTAATGCCTTTGATGTATATTTTCTTTAGTTATCACACTATTGTAGAACTTTATGTGTTTCCGAACCTGCTTTATTCAATGATAAAAATGAATGCACACAGACATTTTTCTAATCATAAAGAACGTGACTCTGGGCCTGGAAAAATGGTTCAGTCGTAGAGCACATACTTAGTGTGCACTCGGCCCTGAAGTTGAGTCTGAAAAAGGGGTGGGAGGGAGGCCTAAACTCTGAAAGTAGAATGTATAGCATGCATGTCAGCAACTCACTGGGAAAACTAACACATCCGGGCATGTTAGGAATTCCAGGTCTGTGTAACTGTCCTAACTCTGTCCTGCTGCTGTTACCATGTTTAAATATGAAGCATTTTAGTGTGCTGGGGGGCCGGGGGTTGGGTTCACTGAGCCTCTAGTTGCAGCTGTTAACACAGAGTAACCATTTTTCTGAGTAGATTGGAAACCTACTAAGATTTTATGCCAGAAAATATTTTCAGTGTCAGTTTTTTGTTGTTTTAGATTTGGTATATATTTTCTTTTGTTTTGAGGCAGAATCTTAACAATGTATCCTGGCTGATTTAGAACTGACTGTAGACAGGCTTGTGTCACCATGCTCAGCTCTCCCATGCAGCTTTATGTCATTCTGGCTGCTGATGGAGAATGCATTTGGGAGAGCATGTGTGGATAAGGGAGATGTTAGAGAAGAGGCAAGTGCAGATGTGCCAACAACATCTGGAATCATGTCAGTGACACGAAGAGGTTCTCTTTGGAATCACAAGACTTGGTGTCTAATTATGATGGGTGGGTTGACTAAAGTCTTCCCTTTCTGGATTCCAATTGTAACCTTTTGAGTATATGTCTTCCTAATAACTAACTTAAAAATTAGTTAATAATTTAAATCAGTCTACCTACTGAAGTTAAAGAGCATTGCTCCTAATCTGAGAAGCAAAAAGCATAGTATTGATCATTCCTGATTTCCTACAGAGAGAAATGTAATTCTTACCAGTTTTTAACAAGAGTAATTTTCTCTCTCTTTGTTTTAAAGGATGTACAAAGCAGATCAAAAGTTATCGATCGTATTTATCGCCTCTACAAACTTATAGTTCCTAAGAATAAAGTGAATATGGAAGGGTTACTTGATAAGCAGAAGCAGAATTCCTGTATAGACTTTCCTTGTATACCAGAAAGATCTGTGAAGACCAGACTAGTTTCAAGGTAAGCATTTCAATGAGGTCTGCAGTTCGATGTACTACAATGGATTCACTTAGTAAGTATTTACATTTGGAACAGGAGGAGAGCACTGGGTGAATGGAGGAGATCTAAGTACATAATGGATCATCATTATTGCTATGGCCTTGGCACTACCTAGTTACTTAAAAAGCACCCTGTGTTAAGTAGTTAAAAAAGCATGCTAGGAAGCTGACTGTAATTTTGTTACCTGTTTTCTTTAGTGAAGTAAAAGTGCATTATGTATCAACTGTCAAAAGTCCCTCTTGGCCAAAATGTCAACCTCCACTCTTCCTAAATTTCTTCTTCTAGATACGATCTTTGTAGGGCTTTGTATTAGGTTTTATAGAATGCTGTAATCAATTACCTGAAGCTTGGGGGGTGAAGCAATTTTCACTGGTATACATGTTCACATTGAGTTCCTGAAAAATAAAAACTAAAGAAAAAGTTGGAGAAGTTATGACAGATGGCAGGCATTCAAATCATGGAATTTGCTTGGAGCAAGCCTGAGAACCATTGACAGAAGCAAAATGTCAGTCCACCATTAGAAAGCCAGCTCTGTAGAAAAATCTCCTTCATTATTTTAGAGCACTGGTACAGAAGTCTGTGATTTGGATCCAAAGGCAATGAAGGAAAAAAATCTCCATGTAGTATGGTGTAGAAAAGTAATCAGCTATTGCTTCTTCCATTATTTATAATAAGGGCTGCGGCTAAAGGTTTTTATAGGAACAGATCAAGAGATCATAATAGAAGCATGTTGACAGATTTTTTTTTCTGCAATACTCCAAGGAACTGGCTTTAGCAGGAAAATATGTCAAAACCTTATCATCAGAGCTGAGATCTTCTGTGAGAAATCAATAAAGAGTTATATATACGGTTTGATTTTAAAAAAGAAAGAAAGAAAGCCAGCTCTGTGGCTGAGCAGGAGAACCAAGGTGACCATAGGATTAGAGTATCATTATTTTTAGTATTTCTTGTTAGCATTAAGATCAGATGAAGGTGACCCCAGGTTAGAATCATGTCCCCTTTTGTCACTGAGATTGTTCCATTGTCTGTGTGTGTGACATTTGATCTTCTTATTTGTGTCCAGATTCTTTAATTATTAATCAGGAAGGAACAATAAGATAAGATTGCACTAGGAAGGATTTTTTTTTTCAAGAGGATATGTGACCTCTCTACCCCATTTTCTCAGTCACTGTCATGTGTGATTATAAACTCAAATTCAGAAATGCTTGAGAGGGCGTAAGGAATAAAATAGTCAACTTTGTGAAGAGAAAGAAGCAGTATGCTAGGAAATTTCAGATGACACTTTAAAACATGGGCATGACACAGTATCCAAGCCAGATTCTGGAGGTTTTCATTACCAGTATTCATCTGTATAGGAATGGAAAAGCAACATTTGTATGCAGTTTTGAAACACAGTTGGGTTTTCCAGATGAATGCTATACGGGAAGAAATAAAGTTGATAGCATTTTCAAAGTAGATTATTGACATACCTATGCTAATTAAGAAAGAGTGCAGGCACTATATCCTTATTAACTGTAGTGTATGCTGAAGGTTGAATGAATTGGAGACGTTGAGGTGGAACATTTGGTTCAAAGGTGAACTTCAGTAAAGCATGTGGCATGTGGCATGATGGAAATCAGAAGTGGTTTGCAGAATGCAAATCTAAGTTGGCCACGCAGTTTCTATGAAGACATCTATATTTTGTGCCTATAATAAAGGACAGTTGAATGGTTAAGGAAGTACAGAAAGAGAGTGTACAAGGGGTGGCAGGGTGAATAATCTTGATTGGGCTGTTGACTCGTTGACCTTATATGGATGCTGATGTTACTAAGAATGGTGGGAAGACCCGAGAAAGACTTAACCGGTGTCACCAAGATATCACCTTGAGAGTTTGGTAATGAATGGAAAAGGCACTGATGGAAATAAATAGAATAAACTGCATAGAGGCCAACATCAAGTTTTAGAATTAATATATAGGTAGTAGTGAGCTATGACGGGAAGCTCTCCCACATTTTATAGGTGACTCTTTTTAAAAGAAACACTTCACTAATGCCATTTTTTTTTCTTAAATAGATTTAAGCCACAGTGGGTTTTGAGGCGTGATAATATGGAAGAAATCACAAATTCATTGCAAGCTATTCAACTGGTGATGGATACCCTTGGCATTCCTTATCAGTAAATGGAAACATTTTCAGTGTAGGACTGTAAATAATTACGCCAATCATGGATACTTGGAGCAGCTTTTACTTTCAGTGTAAACTTTTGAATATGACTTTGTATAAAATAAAAATATGTATTACAAGTGTTTATTAAATTTGTCACATTTGCTGTTTTTTTAAATTATTGAGGTCATAGCTTAATTACATTTTTCCCTTCTGTTTTCTTCCTCCAAACACTCCCATATGCCAGTTCCTGCTCTCCTTCAAATTCATGGCCTCTTTTCACTAATTATTATGCATGCATATATATATATACATATTTCTGTATACATACATATTCCTAAATACATGTTAAGTCCCTGTTATGTCACTTGTATGTATGTTTCCAGAGCTGACTAGTTAGCAATAGTTATATGCATATGAAAGCCTATTATAAGATTATTACAATATTTGTGTCTATCAACTTAAAATATTTCTTTGAATGTAATCTTATTCATAAAGGAAACAGAATATTATCTTTATACATAAGTTGAGGCACTTTTTTAAAAGATTCATTTATTTATTTTTATTTAGGTTAGAAACAATCTTGTTTCACATGTCAGTCCCTCCCTCCCTCTCCCACCCTCCCCACCAGGTCCCCCAGTCCTCCACTCTGATCACCAAGGAGGGTGAAGCCCTCCATGGTGGATCTCCAGTAACTGTTATTTCATCCAGGGTAGGGCCTAGGCTCTCCCCCAAGAGTCCCGGCTGAGAGAACCTCCCATATTGTGACATGAGCACTTAAAGTCTATTTGTACGCCAGGGGTAAATACTACCCAAGTCCCCATAGATTACCTAGGCCTCCTCACTGACACCCACATTCAGGGGGTCTGTGTCAGTCCCATGCTTTCACATGGCCATCAGTCTGGAGTCCAAGAGCTCCCTCTTGTTCAGGTCAGCTGATTCTGTGGGTTAAACCAGCCCACTCTTAACTCCTTTGCCCATCAGTTCTCTCTTTCTGACACTGGATTCTAGTTCAGTTCAGTGTTTGTCTATGGGTATCTGCCTCTGCTTTCATCAGTTGCTGGATGAAGGTTCTGTTTCCTAGACTTTTTGACAGTGGGATTGTATGTTGGCACTCCCCTGATTCATGTCTAAAATCCACAAATGAGTGAGTACATGCCATGTTTCTCTTTTTGTGACTGCGTTACCTCACTCAGGATGGTTTCTTCTAGTGCCATCCATTTGCCTGCAAATCTCAGGATTACATTGTTTTTTTTCTGCTGAATAGTACTCCATTGTGTAATGTGCCACATTTTCTCTATCCACTCTTCAGTTGAGGGGCATTTAGGTTGCTTCCAGGTTCTGGCTATTACAAATAATGCTGCTATGAACATAATGGAACAGACATCTTTGTTGTATGAATGTGCATCTTTTGGGTATATGCCTAAAAGTGGAATTTCTGGGTCTTGTGGTAGACTGATTCCCATTTTCCTGAGGAATCTCCATACTGTGGGCTGCCTTTTTGTCTTGCTGACTGTCCTTTGCCTTACAGAAGCTTCTCAGTTTCAGGAGGTCCCATTTATTAATTGTCGATCTCAGTGTCTGTGCTACTGGGGTTGTGTTCAGGAAGCAGTCTCCTGTACCAATTCATTCAAGGGTACCACCCACTTTCTCTTCTAACAGGTTCAGTGTGGCTGGGTTTATGTTGAGGTCTTTGATCCATTTGGACTTAAGTTTTGTGCATGGCTGTAGACATGGATCTATGCACATTCTTCTACATGCCAACATCAGTTATGCCAGCACCATTTGTTGAAGATGCTTTCTTTTATCCATTGTATATATTTAGGTTTTTTTTTTGTAGAAAATCAGATGTTCATACATGTATGTGTTATTATCAGGGTGTTCAATTTGATTCCTTTGGTCTTCCTGTCTATTTTTGTGCCAATACCAAATTGTTTTCAGGACTACAGCTCTATAATACAGCTTTAAGTCAGGGATGGCGATGTTGAGGCACATTTTTAAAGCAAATATTGGAAATTGAATCTACAATCTTTTCTGAGGATGCTCTATGTCTTATGTTTCTTGTTTCTCTTGGTCAGTTTTCCATTGCTGTAAAGAGATACCATGACCACTTCAACTCTTATAAAAGAAAGCATTTAATTGGGGCTTCCTTTCAGTTTCAGATGTCAGCGCTTTATCATTATGACTGGAAACATGGTGGCATGCAGGAGGATATGATGCCGGAGAAGTAGCTGAGAGTACTACATCCTGATCTGCAGGCAGAGAGACTGAGCTTGGCATGGGTTTTGGAACTTTATTGCTCACCTCTAATGATGTACTTCCTCCAAGTAGGCCACTCCTAATCCAGTGGTTTTCAATCTCCTATTGCTGCCACCCTTTACGGGTCCTTAGGTTGTCATGACCTGAACCATACAATTATTTTGTTGCTACTTCCTAACTGTAATTTTGCTATTCTCATGAATTGTAATGTAAATATCAGTTATGCAGGATATCTAATATGAAGCCCTCCACAAAGGTCATGACCCATAGATTGAGAACCACTGGTTAGGACCTAATTTTTTCAAATAGTACCACTCCCTGCAACACTGGACCTATGAGGACCACATTGTTGCTGTTAGAAATATATTCCACAAGACCATCTGAGACAGAGTTTATTTTGGTTTGCAGTTCAAGAGTGTAGTGTACCATGGTGTGGAAGTCATAGCAGCAGGAACTTGAAACAGTTGGTCATGTTTCATCTACTGTCAAGAAGCAGAGATCAATGATGAATGCTTGTACTTGTTCTTTTTATATAGTCTAAGATCTCAGCCTGGGGAATGGCGCTACCTGCAGTGGGTAGGTCTTTTCAGTTGCTGCACTCAAGATCATACCTAATAGGAATGCCCAGAGGCATGTTTTCCAGGTTATTCTAGGTCTCACCAAGTTGACAATTGAGATTAACCATTACAACCTGGAAGGTGCTCACATTTGCATCTTTCATTGGGAAAGCATTCAATTAGATGACCTTGATTTCTCTATTACAATATTACAGCTGGTCTTTTTAGACTAAAATTCTGAACTGTGGGTGAATTGGGATTCAAATTTGAAAGTGATTCAACTTTGAAAAATTGTTTTCTTTTATTAGAGCTGGTATTCTAGGACCATAGAGAGTTTAAATGTTGCAGGTATGGAGACAGTTCATCTTCAACTTTATACCCTTTATACCATTCACTGTCCACCTCTTTGTATGTTCTAACATCCTTTTCATTCTAGGATAAAGCTTTGGGATGTCTTCATAGCAAACCACTAGCTTCTAGCAACCTAGAAGCTAACACACCATCAAAAAACATCTGGTATGCACAGCTGAGTTTCATTGTTGTAACCTACCTCCCTATAGTCCCACCAATGTACTTGGCAAATGCTTTCATTTATGATTTTCTTTGCTCCATACTCTACAAAGAAGTCTTATTAGACTTCTTCTATGTTGGAACATGTTATACAGCTACAACCAGTATCTATTGTCAGCCATGATCTTATGTATTTGACTCCTGGTCTGTCTTGAAGTCACTGTCCTGGGTATATCAGCCATGGGTACTACCATAGCAAAATTCCTCCTCTGATTAGAAAGGACTTAATGTAAGCCCTTTACTCTGGAAAACAGGAATTCTAGGGATTCTCAACTGAAGACATTTACCTAAGCCCAGGGAAGCCAGTGATAAAGTGACACACCATACCATGAAGCAATGCAATTAGCCCATTATGACTCTACTCACACATCTTAAGTCCATATGCAGAAAATGCAGCTTTCAGTGGATAAGATGAGTGACAAATATACAGATGAAAAAAATACTAGAATGTCTCATCCCTTATGAAACCAGACCTTACATCTTCTGACTTCATATTAAAGATTATGGATATGATCTGTTCCTCCTTACTTAAAGTAGCCCAAATGTACCTGTCATTTGCAGCATGAAAAATAACATTTTAAGATATTTCTTCACAAGTACTATTAAAAACAGATGAAATGACTTACTGAGATAAAAGTTTCCTTTACAGGATTTCATACATGGTATTTTATAATGGTAATTTTGTTATTAGAGTCTTACTATTTAATTATGGTGGGTCACCAAGAACTGGCAATAACCTGTTTGTGAGTGCCTCTGGTTTTACTGACCAATGACTCAGGATTACATCCCGTGCCTAGCACTAAGGATCTCATTTAATGACCCATGTCTTCTGGAAGCAGCAATGCGCACCCATACAGGTACTCTCTTTTACTTATAAACTAATGGATTTCCATAAGGTGTCTTCAAGTACCCTTTAAGCTGAAACTAACCCACTGTGTACCATCTCCTGTTCCCAGCCACCTGATTCCCACTTAAACCTTTAACTCCACTATTTCCCCATTCTCCTTTCATGTCAGCTGTGTTCTATTATTTGCTCTAATTGAATGTTCCTTAAGCTGGATGACCATAAATCTTCATATAACTTTTTTGTATCCTTCATTTGAGTAAATCTTCCAATGCCTTATTTCCTCACCCCCCAATATCTCCATATTTGAAGCTTTCTGCCCCCATTACTGCCTCTCTCTGCATTCATTTTTACTCCCGTTGCCTCAAGCATCCACTCCCCAGTCCCACAGTTGCCCATTTCTAGAGTCCTGGCTTCAATGTATAAAAGATTCAAAACTAGGATTTAATGAGTTTGTTCATTGTGCATCCATAACCTCAGTATGATTTTTTAAATTTCATCCATCACAATAGCAATTTGTCTCTTGATTATTTTAAATGAAAATGGGCAATTCCTGCTTTTAAAAACAATAGAGTAGGAGCTGGAGAAGATGACTCAATAGATAAGAACATTTGCTGTCATTGCTGAGAACCTGGGCATGTTTTCCAACACGCCTTCATAGCCATCAGTAACTAGAGTTCCAGTGACACTCTTTCGGACTTTGTGCAAATCAAATCAGGTATACACGTGTACAGTGTGCATATAGGGAATATGTAGGGAAACAATCATACACATAAAAATTGCTTAAAAACAATGTAAGATAAGAATTAAGTGTTTTTTTGGGGGGGGGTGTTTCGAGACAGGATTTCTCTGTATTGTTTTGGAGGCTGTCCTGGAACTTGCTCTGTAGACCAGGCTGGCCTTGAACTCACAGAGATCTGCCTGCCTCTGCCTCCTGAATGCTGGGATTAAAGATGTGCACCACCAACGCCTGTCTGAGTTAAATGAATTTTATAAAACCACAACTATCCTGTTTATTATCTAGGAGAGACACATTGATTTAAGGTTACAAACAGGTTGACAATGCAGGAAGCAAAAAATACTTAATTTAAATGGTAGCCAGCGGAGAGGAAATGTGACTATAGCAGAAAAATACAATTTAAATATAGTAGTCATAAGGTGATAACCAGTAGCATACCTTTGGGCTTTCAGAACTGTGAACTAAATAAATACAGGGCTTTTTTTGTTTTGTTTTTTGTTTTGTTTTTACTACTGAGTATCAGAAATAGCAAAGCAAATTGGATTAAAATACCCATCAAGACTGATTCAGAAAAAAAATAGAAAAATTTAAGGAGACTTAAAGTGAATAAGAAATTGAGAAGAGAAAATTTCCTGAAGAGGAGCTTTTCTAGATGAATACATGGATGGTTTTTACTAAATGTTTTGAGACAAACTAAACCAATCTCGTTTAAATTGTGCTCACCCACCCAGAAAGAAGCAAAGAAGTTTCCAAACTCCTGTAGAACTAACATCGCAGGATACCAAAACCAGATAAGGATATCCCGGATGAATAGGAAGAGAGTAAATGTAGCAGCACACTGAATGGAGTGTACACCATTGGCAGCTAGGATTTGCTCATCAGATACAAAGATAATATGTTCACTAAAGAACCTAATGAATGTGCTACACCAATGGCAGAAGGATGGAAGAAGAGTACCATAGTGGGCACTGCTATGCATTGAATATGTCTTCCAAATGATTATGTCTAAGACCCTTAATTCTGCAGCACAGTAGTTTTCAGAGGCAAGACTTGGTGGGAAGCATCTGGACTGTGGAGACAGGGACAATATGCCTTGTTCATAGTGGCCTTTCAAATTTTTCTCACATATGAGTGATACTGTAATGGTATTCATCAACTCACTTCCCACAGAGCTCATACATCCCACATATGCCATACTTTTTTTTGATAACTTCCTGTCATAGTTGGAGACAAGATCATTTATGTCTTTGAGGACTGCAGTCCAGACAGTGCATTTTCACAGCAGGCCTCATTACCTCATGATCCTAAGTTCATCTTTGCTCTGTCAAAGCTGGTAAACAGCAGTGGGCAGGTGGACTTTGTCTTAGGAATACACAGTTGGGAATCTGAGTTAAAATGTACCTTTCTTTATCCGGACTGTATGCACTGTCTATGCTATTATCATTGTTGCCTCTGTCGCTTAGTGTGTTCTTATTGAACTCAGAATGAAAACTATTGTCAGCTATTACTAGTACATTATTTTAAATTGTTGGACAATGAATGTGTTAAGTAAAATATAGTTTTTTTCAAAGGTACTTAGACATTGTAATCATTAACTTGTTTTGTCAGAAGTATTGTGTACTCAGTGATGTGATCTCAGGTGCTCTAGGGTTGTAAAAATCTTCATGAGACATGCAACTGAAGATGAGGTTGAGATACTTGCTATTTATTTTTATAGCATTCATCTCAGGAGAACTCTATGCAGAAGGTAAAGTTAATTCTTTTAGTATTCTTTACTCTCCAAAATGTGTATGGAAAACAGAGAGTCTAACTCTCCTATTAATTGAATTTTACCCCATATTGTGTTTCAACATACCAATTTTGTAATACATGCCTTAAATAAATGTAACTTGTTATTACATTTTGGTAATGTTTCTTTGGACAAAACTGGTGTGATGCTTTTATAGCACTGTGACTTGGACAATCAAAGCAAACTCCATTATTTCTCTAGATTTGGGGCCACAGGGAGCCAGGATCTAATGACTTTAAAGGGTCTTCTGGTTAATATTCAGCAGTTTGGAAGTCACATATCTGCCTTAATTCTAGTTTTAGGTATGAATCCATGCATAACACTAACACTTGCATAATTTAGCTTTCTCTTCTTATAGTGAGGGTCTAGTTGGGAACTTTGAAAAAGAACAAATTCATCAGCAAGATTTCTACTTGTGCTATTGTTTTCATTGTCTGGATTACGAAGTAGCAGTTATTTTGAGGGCAATATAATTGATTATAGAAACAGGAGCACTTGGGTGAGAGAAAGGCCACAGAGGTGATTCTGTCACTGCAATGCTGTAAATCAAATTGTCCAGAGATATCAGCACTACAGAGCTGCTGTTATATATCTTCGTGGGCAGACTCCCTAGAGTGCAAACCAGATGTGAGTGAAAGGTGGGCAACATACCAGTGGGACTCACTTGGGATGTAGTCAGTGTTATTAGATGGTAAGGTTAGGTGCAGGCAGGTGAGACAGTGACCAGCCAGAACTCCTCTAAATTAACATCTATGATTATACTTGTGGTTTAGTTGAATAGTTCACACGAATTTTCTACCAACAATTATATATAAATGAAACTTACCCTCATTTCACACAAGTAAAGCAAGTAATGTGTTTGCACACAGGAACAATATTCCTGTGCTAGTCGCAAAGCCAGTTGAGAACCTCTTGAGTAAGAAGTGAATTAATTCTAACCTTGATCCCAAATTCTCTTAAGACCCACTCTAGAGTTTAGGCATGCCACTTCATAATGATAATGGCTTTGTAAAGTACGCCTTTTTAAAAATGAGTTTTGCTATTGTTTGATGTTGGATTGTATGTACCACAACAGAGACAGAAGTTCACCAAGATGCTACGACTTCGTATTCCAAAAGAGCAAAGGGGTACAGCCTTCTCGGAAAAGACTGACACCCAGCTAGATCACTCCAATTACTTTATTCAAACATATACAGTGTTAATTGGGGCTGGGAAAGGTTCCAGCTACAAAAGTCCCCTTGCTCTTACTTCCCATGAGTGCAGACACATATCTCAGTCACTTTTTATTATAACTTATCCTAATCAAAAGACTCCACAAAATATAGCCATCGAAAGGCATAATGCAAAAAGATAATTAGGGAAAAAGGAAATCATAGAAATTTTATCATCCAAAGCAATATAGGAATAAACATGAATAAAGTACTCCAGGTCTTCCAAAAGTACCTTAAGACCATGGTTGGTGCAGCTGCAAGTTCTCAGGTAGCACCAAGTATCTTTTCTCAAGAGAAACATTTCTTCAAGGTTTAAACAGTCTCAAAACATTTTTCAGCCTCTATTGATTAAACACAAGCACAGCAAAGACTTTGTTGAAACATTTTCTCAAGCCAGACACAAAGATTTCACTATACATATCCCTACATAATGAAACCTTATTGTAGACTTTTATCTTTGAAGTGTTTTGCTTTATGACATACTGTAATTCCCACATTGCTTTCAGTTGCATAGAATTTTATATGTTTTATTTATCTGGACTTCTAATGAAGGGCGTATAGTTATTCTATATGAATAGCTCTGGAATGATCAGTCTCTTCATCTCTGTGAAATGCTGACCGTCTATGAAACTTAACAATAGAACACTTTGCAAAGCAGTATATAAACTCTGCTTCAGAGCTCATAATCTCCAAAAACTTAACATGTTCTTGCCTCTCCTGATCCTCATGAATGCTTTACATTATCTTATTTGGGGCTCTGTCATTGTCTAGTGATACCATCTCTGTATTACTTCTGCATAGTCCTTTGCTTCTTAGTAAGTTTGCACATTTATTCATATATTCCTTTGAATGTTCAGACTTCTATGCCTTATGCCTTTTGATAACTGGATTTTGAGGAGCCTTTTGTAGACTATTAAATGTAGCTTTTTGGCAGCTTTTGATCTTTCATATCCCTTATCAAACATTGTGTATGTGTTTTATGGATAGTGATTTTTATTCAAAGTTGTTCCTGATTTTGATATTGTAAAATACATTATTTGTCTCACAGTTTCAGCTTCTTGAACCTCTGAAGCCCAGAATGTTAATGATGCCCCTGGAATTGTACAATATGGTGACTTTACTGCCTTAAGGAAGGAAATGTAAATTTTACATTTATTGTATTTATTAGTACTTTCCCTAAAATTATTTTGCTGTTCTACACACTTGATGCATTATTTATGTTGTGTGGTTTTCATGTTCATTAGAGCTGCTTGTCTGTTCTTCAGTCTCTTCTGTTTTTTTCTGCTCTGTATTGCCAGTGTCTCTCCTTATGTGTTTAAGGGTACTTTTTAAGCAGTTGAGAAGTTCTGTGCCTATTTGCAAAGCATGTTTCAGCTAATGTTTACTGTGTAGTCTGTTGACTCTTTTATCATGATGACTCCTTGACTCTTTTCTGGTGAGTTTCCATTCATCAAGGCATGTTTGCTACCTTGGGGTGTTGGAAGAGCAGGTCCAGGGCAGGAGACATGAGTATAAACCAGGACAGTGTGCTCATTGCTCGGTGTTGTCACTGTCCAGAACAGTGGCCCTTGGGATCACTGTTCTCCATAGCACAACTATTTTGGGTCTTTGCACTGTAAACTCTTCGTGCTTGGGTATGGAAAATGCTAGAATACTTGGGGACTCTACTGCACGTGTTTCATCAGGTTCTGGCAATGCTATGGTGCCTGTGATTTTGTCCTGTTTTTCTCAGCCATGAATGGCACTGCTATTATTTTCTGCCTAAGGCAGCAAGCCACAGAAGTAACCATTCTGACTTTGTTACCATGGTTTACTTTGCCTCCTCAAACAAGTCACATGACTTACTTATATGCAACTAGCTTCTTTCACTCACTGTCATCCTTTTGAGGATGACTTGAAAATTGTGGGCTTAAATTCAGCCCACTCTATTGTACAATGATCTAAACCAGTGGTTCTCAACCTATGGGTCACTCCTTAGAGCTCACATATCAGATATTTACTTTATGATTACCACAGCAAAATTATACTTATGAAGTAGCAACAATAGTTTTATGGTTGGGGTTCACCACATCATGAGGAACTGTAAATATTAAAGGATCGCAGTATTTGGAAGGTTGAGAACCACTGATATAAACGGCATCATTATCTTTTCTGCCATTAAAGGGAACTTAGGTTGTTTGCAGTCTGATGCTGTTATGAACAGTGATCATACAAATGTACTTTCTGTCTCTTTGAACTCACTGTGTGCCTTTTTATGAGGTGATCTTGAATATGTTCTGCTTTAGTAAAATATCTCCAATGTACTTCCTCATGTGTGGAAGGTCCTGTTTCTCTGGTCATGGTGAGAATTTGTTCCTTTCCTTTCAGGCATTTTAGTGGTATTGTGGTAATGCAATGCTTGCTTGGTGTGAATTTCGCAAACACTAATCTAGCTAAATATTTGCTCTTAAACATTCTTGTTTTCAAAGTCATTGCAAAATCCTCTTATTTTAATGGATTATATTCCCCTTTTCTAAAAGATATGCCACTTACTTCACAGTTGTGTGAATTTCTGAATCTCAGCTACCTCATCTTTTCTGATGTAGCAGACACTAGTCAGACAGGTTGGCAGCCTGCTTCTCTGGGTCCCTATTTGTGGGTTCATCCACATTCAGATAGAAATTAGTTGAGGAAAAATTACAGGAAGGTCCCAGAAACAAAAATTGAATTTGAGTTCACATTAATAAAATGATGGACAGGCAATGTATTAAATATTATAAGCATCTAGAGGCGATACAAATTACATAGGTGGAGGTGTGTAGGGTAATGTAAAATTTTAATCACTTAATATAAGAGACTGGAGCATCTATGGGTCTTGGCATATACAGGTTAGTCTTGAAATCATCTCTCTGCCAATACAGTGTCAACTCTATGGCTCTTGAGCACAAAATCACACATGATCCAAGCAGAGCTGTTCTGTGAATGACATGCCTGCTAGATTGAAAGAGTAAGAACTAAGAATACAAAATACTTTAACACAGTAGATTAAATAAACCCATCACTGAAACAAAGCAAGCTTTTATTTTTATTTTTACCACTGTGAGTTCCAGAAATGTTAAAATTCCACATGTGATGTCATGATGTCTCTACGACTGTGTTGTTCTACAAAGCTAGAACAAATTTCCAGGAAGAAATCTCTTGTCAGTTTTTCTGAGTAACACAGCTATTCAGAATTGTCAGCAGATATAGAGAGAGGAGGGCATATACTAGATATTTAGATTGTCACAACATTACTTCTAAACTTATGTTATGAAAATAAGTGCAGACTGAAGAATCTGCAGAAAAATATTTAGGAATGATGTTTGATCTCAAGTTTCATGGATGTGCATATTTTTCCATTTTCAGCTTGAGTTTTCCTCGTTACAGAGAAACAGTGTGATTTCCCTGTGATGGAAAATGGAATGATTGCCCAATATTATTATACATTTAAAACCTTTTACTTTCCAATGAACATAAATAAAAAGCTGTCATTCTTGTGCTTGGCTGGCTATGCAAGTGAAAGTGGGAAGCAAGAAGAACAAATCAGGTGTACAGCAGAAGGCTGGTCTCCAAAGCCAAGGTGCTTCAGTAAGTCAATGCTTGCTGTCAGGGCAACGCTTAGAAACTAGTTTCTTAGAAGACAATGTTTACCTGTATTAAATGTGAATGGTGGTTAAACTTTGTATATAATAACAAAATTACCATTATAAAATACTGTATCTGAAATCCTGTGAAGGATGTTTTTATCTCAATAAGTCATTTCATCTGTTTTTAATAGTACTTATGAAGAAATATCTAAAAATGTTCATTTTCAGGATGCAAATGATAGGAACATTTGGAATACTTCAAGTAAGGAGTAGCATTTTATCCATAATCTTTAATATAAAGCCGGAATAAGATGTAAGGTCTGGTTTCATACAATATGAGCCACTCTAGTACTTTGTCATGTGTAAATTTGTCACTCATCTGCATACCCACTTTTCTTTTTCTTATCCATTGGAAGCTGCAGTTTTCTGTATATGGACTTCAGATGTGTGAGTAGTGTCATAATGGGCTCATTACATTGCTTCATGGCACTGTGTGTCACTTTATCATTGGTTTCCCTGTACCTAGGTAAATGTCTTAAATTCAGAGTCCCTTAAATTTCTCTCTTCTAGAGTAAAGGTCTTACGTTAGGTCCTTTCCATTTAGGGGAGGAATTTTGGTACAGTAGTAGCTGTGGCTGATATACCTAGTAAACAGAACTGCATATGACATTCATTCATTCTGTGACTTCAGGACAGATCAAAATCTAATATGACATTTTTCTATTAACACAGAGCATAGAGTTTATAATATAATATAATTGTGGCATCATAGGAGTACTATATGTGACTATATACCTTGAATTTGCTCTGTAAAAGATAGAACATTGCAGAGATTGGCATGGGAGCATAATGGTCAAGAAATGATCTCTGCAGTCAACTGACTGCATATGATTTCAGCATCACCCCTATGAAAGTGACTTGGAAATTCTTAACCTGATTCTATGCAAAAAGGGGAGTTAATATTGCTTCAGTAGAAGCCTTCAAGTAGAGTGTTTGCCACACAGCTAGTACTAAATGTGTGTATGTTAATAGTAACCTTGGACAAGTCTTTTAACTCTTCTAAATTGCTTTGCCATAAAGGTCCAATAATATGGCTTACAAAAATGATAGGGATTACTAATATGAAGGTAATTTTATTATATTGTAGCTTATATTGCACATATTTACCAAAAACTTGATTGCAGACTCACAGGTTTTTGGGATCAAATGCATGACTTGGCCTACATACACTGACTCCTGGACTCTGTACAGTGAGGTGATCCCAAAATATTTTCTGAAACAATGAATGAATAAAGGCTTTATAGTAAGATACCTTAGAACTATTTAATTATCCATGAAGTATGTGTTTGATTACATTATAAAGCAATGAATTAAAACATCAAGTAGATCAAGGAGAAATTACTTTTACTTGTGACTAATGACAATTAGTGAAAAACTATTGGTGTATTTTCCAAAAGAAGATGCGGTAAGAGTAGGAATGACTATAAAATTCGAAATTTGTAAAATTACAACCTCAGTCAGTGTCAAACTGAACCCATTTCCAAAAAAACATTATACAGGTCAGATATTTCTTAAATTGAATTGCATAAAAGAACTCTGGAGTGAAAATTATTTTACTGCTCAAAGTTCCAACTAAGAGTAATATTATGTGTTTGTATTAATTTTTCAGTTTAGTAAGGTATAATCTGAATCTTACTATTAAGCAGATTAACATTATAATTTCCTTAAGAAACTAAAACACATTTGCTCTTAAAACACAGAAAAATGCCTGAAGCCTAACCTAAGGAATGGTTATGTCTCTGATGGAAAAGTACTGTACAAAATTCAAGATAGCATGCGCTATGGTTGCACTTCAGGATACAAAACCACTGGAGGAAAGGATGAGGAGGTGGTCCAGTGTCTTCCTGAAGGGTGGTCTTCCCAACCGTCCTGCAGGAAGGAACAAGGTACATACACATGATTATGTTATTTCCTGAAGCTGAGCATATGACCCTATGAGGTTATGCTTCACTTGAGAGACGGTATTAAATTGTTTGCTTGATTTTCTACTATGTCTCTTCAGTGTGAAAAGTTGGCAGTGCTTTGCATTTCTCACATGCTTGGTGTTTTCTTAATGCATGGGTTCTCAACTCCAGCAAGTCTCCTGCCTCATTAGATCTTACTCTGAACCAATAAGAATGAGCTGAAGTGTTCAAAGTGAAGGAGCCCCCCAAAACTTTCCTGTGTAGCTCATGCAATTATTTTCTTCATTGCTAATTTGACAGTATAAATTGTTTAATTTATACAAATCCATAGAAGACACTTAGATCCAAACAGTTCTTCACAAGACTTGATCTGACATGAGGCCTTCGGTAAGGGCAATGGACCAATCTCTCAAAGTAGGAGACTGATCGAGATGGCTTACACGAATACGAAAAGGAAACCACAAATACACAGTGGTGTCTTCAATTTTGCAACCATTGGCTTTACCACATATTATTAATATTCAACGTGATACAGTTTGTGACTTCTTTTTGTTATTCTGGGGTTTTGACGAAGCTCATCAAAGCTCCTAAAATCATGTTTAACTTTTCAGAGACATGCTTGGCCCCTGAGTTGGACCATGGGAATTATTCCACGATGCAGAGGACGTTCAAAGTGAAGGACAAAGTGCAATACTCATGTGCTGCTGGCTACTACACGGCTGCAGGGAAGCAGGCTGAGGAAGCAGAGTGCCACGTCCATGGGTGGTCCCTCACCCCACAGTGCAACAGTAGGTTCTTGCTTCAGTAAAAGCTTTGTGCTGCACAGGTCCATCTCATATAAACTGTCTGGCTGGCAACATTCCATGCCTCTTGGTTTGGGCTTCAGTTGTAATTTAGTTAATAGTAGACCTTGGTCATTTCAAGCTCTCGAACAGGAAAACCTTGTTTTAGCTATTGTAATCCAATTCAGTTAAACCTGCTAATATTTAACAAGATAAGAATGTATCAGTGAGCTTCTAGAACAGAATGTAGCAAATGCTATACTATCCATTCCAGATATGACTGTAAATTTCTATGTGTGAAAAATAAATATGTTTTGTTATTTTTATCTGTTCTTTCATTTTTTTTAGAATTAACGTGCTCTTCTTTGAGATTAATAGAAAATGGCTATTTTCATCCTGTAAAGCAAACCTATGAAGAAGGAGATGTAGTTCAGTTTTTCTGTCATGAAAATTATTACCTAAGTGGATCTGATTTAATTCAGTGCTATAACTTTGGCTGGTATCCAGAATCTCCCATATGTGAAGGTAATTTTTTAAAAAATTTCAAACTTAAAAATTAACTTTAGTTTCTATGATCCCTGAATGATCACATCTATTTCTAATTCCAGAATTATTTTTAAAATAATTATTACATATCAAGTCAGTGGATTTTTCTATCTGAAGAAACTAAGCTTTGTATGCATTTGTGTAGTAAGCAATATGTTATATTTAACATGCATATATCTGAGCATATATGTGTGTAGTTATTCATATATTTGTGTGGGTGCATGTGCACGTGTGCACACAGAAGGTAGAAGTTCATGCCAGGTGTTTCCCTTGGCCCCTCCCTTCTTAGTTTTTTGAAGGCAGTCCTGGGTTTATTGAATTAGTCGGTGTGCTTAGGTAATGAACATCAGGTTGCCTCCATCTCTGCCTCTCTAGTGATGGATTACACCTTCCACTGTGCCTGGCTTTTACACAGATGCTAGGGATCATACTTAGGACTCCCTGTATATAAGGCAAGCAACTTTATCAGTCTCGCTATCTCCCCAGCCCTATGTTTAACATTTTAAAACCTCAGTCATACATTTTCAATCTGTAGCTGGGTAAGACACTATCTTAATTGGTCACATATTTCTTGATGTAAAAAGTCCATCTCCAAAATAATAGAGTAGGAAGCACACTCAGAAGGATATTAGCCTGAAGGGAAAATGGAAAGTGAGGTCAGTCATCTAGTTAGAACAGTCCAGACATGTAATAGCGAAGGTTTGATTTCTATCCCTGGTTGTGTTCTGAGGGGTGCTATGATTACCTTCAGAAGATACCAATTCATGGCCACAGAGGAGCCTCGTGTAGCAGAGGAAACTTAATCACAAGTGTGTGAGTAAAAACTCAAGATTTTGATTAGTACAGTGTGAGAGAGTTCTCACTTCCATATTCATAGAAGTGACGGATTATATTTGAACTGGGTCTGAAAACAAACACAAATCTGATGATTTGGTGAGGTATGAGAGGCAAAAGATGCAATGGCCACTATTTCTGCTGTAATATAGAAGATAATATTAGTATTGACAGACTGGCCAATGACCTGGGAGCAAAACAGAAAAGTGTGATTGAAATAGATGCCAGCAGGAAGGAAAGAGGTGTCAAGGATGGCAATGCCTGTACCTGTCGTAACTCTGTATTGCAGTGAGCAATTGCTTTGAAGTTTTAGAAACCTTCTAGTTGAGTCCAACAGCCTTGGTATAACAGTATGGGTGGGGGCAGGTGTTAGCAAGTTGTAGCATATTGTCTCAAAAATATACAACAGACTTACTGCCTCTTCTGCACCCCCTCCAAATTAGCATGGTCACGTACCCATAATTTTATAATTAATAGTTCTTTTAAATAGTATACTAATTTATTATCCTCATCTTAATCCTAGAGCCAGAATAATAGATTTATGTGGCAAAAGAAATACAGAGGTTGACTAGAGATATTGAGGCTATTATCTGTGGTTCTTTATTTGGTCCCTAAATGCAATGGCCAGTGTCATTGTAAATGGATCTGGAAGGGTACTTGACAACAGAAGAGGGAGATGGATATGTAACAATGGAAAGGAACAGTTTTCCCTTCTTTATAATATGTGAGGAATTTGTTTAGAACTAAAGGAGATGGTGACTGTAAAATACTCAAGATGGCCCAAGAGTATTGCTTTACTGGTTCTGTGGGTCAGGGGTGTGGGCATGGCTTCACTGGTTGTTGAGCTACATCAGTGCCAACTTGAAGGTTTGGCTTGGCAGTAATACTCCAAATTCATTGCGCGTGTTGGCAGCTTTCTGTGCTTTGGAGGCTGCTGAGTCACAAGCCTGCTGGCTTTGGACTGAGGTAGCCCTCTAATCTTTTCTTGCTGGCCTCCTTTGTCAGGACTCTCATAGTGCATCAGGTTGATTCCTCAAAGCCAGTAGGGAGAGGATCTTCCAGGAAGAGTGGTATTACGATGTTGGCCATCATGTAACATAAACACATACTAATTCATCATCTTACCGTAAGAAACAATTGACAAGTCCCACTCAGGAGAGGGATGCCACGTCAGAGAACAGTCATAAAAGGGTTTTCATGGTGCCTGTCTGCCATATTTTCTGTGGTTCTTTACGATTTTTTTGTAATTACATGACTTAATAGGGCAATATTTTTACACAAGGAAGAAGAAGTCGATGTCCTCCTCCACCTGTTCCTCTAAATTCTAAAATTCAACCACATTCAACAACTTACCGCCATGGAGAAACAGTTCGTATAGAATGTGAACTTAATTTTGTGATTCAGGGATCAGAAGAACTCCACTGTGCAAACGGAAAGTGGACAGAACCTCCCAAATGCATTGGTTGGTAACATCTTTTTTAGTTAGTTTTCTTTAATAGTTTAATTTGTGTATTTGATACTGAATTTTATTGTTGCTTTCTCATACATATGTATCATTGTCCCTTGCTCTTATTCAAAATCTATCCTATGCTACTCTTCCTACTTGGTAATATCTTGAATATGTGTCTCCTAAAATGCTTATGTAGCTCGTGGTCTCTTTCTTTAACCGTACCTTCACAGAAGAGAAGGAGAAGGTAGCCTGTGAGCAACCACCCTCCATTGAAAATGGCGCTGCACAAACACACTCTGAGGTTTACTACAGTGGGGATAAAGTGACATACAGGTGTGAAGGAGGCTACCAGCTCCGGGGATCAAGTATGATAACTTGTAATCGTGGCCAATGGACTCTGCCACCTGAATGTGTTGGTATGTGTACTACTAACATTTAAGCCTGTGATGCTCTTTTCAACTGTTCAGTCTGTCTATGCAAGGCCAGACACTAATGCTTGCAAAATTTAGGGACACCTATGTCCTGACTCCAGTGTGAATTTTTGAGTATATAAGTGTATCTGTAGAATTTAGACCAAATTAATAAATCGGAATCAAAACGTTGTTTAGAGCGCATTACTGCTAGGCTGTTGTATAAGTTGTGTTAACTCCATGATCTTGGACTTTAAATGGCCACACATATGTGAGATGTGTTTTTATTAAAGAAGTAAATGGGTGAATGTTGGGTTAATGGTTGACTGTGAGTATGACAGCTTCCCCTCCTCATGTACTGTGGTCAGTACAGGGTACGCTCTTCTCCGAAGGTAAGTGCTGCTCATTGGAATTTTGCATATTACCCTTCTAAACCTTGCAGCTCCTAAGAATCACACTCATGGTTTTGATTTTACTGAAGGATGTCATTAAGTTAAACTCACTCCTGGTTGTCACTCTTCCTACCATCTTTCTCAGGTTTTGATTAGATATTAAAAGAAGTTCCCCAAACATGTGTACTTATTTATTATATAATAAAAAAACTACAGAAGAGGTTAAATAAATTAACAGAAAAAGAGAAACTGGGGAAGAGTACATATTTCATCTAACTCAGAATAGGGACGAAAAGGAGAGGGAGTGGATAAGGCCCAGTGCGGTTTTAGAGTGGACCATGGTCGTTAGGATCTTTCTAAGCATTTAAGAACACCCTTATCACAGTTAATTTACCACCAGGAAAAGAAGAACCATACACGAATTTGTTCTTGATTAATACATTTAAAAAAATACTTCAGCTAAAAACTTTTGGATTTCTGATTAACTTAGAAACTACTGTCTAGGTGATAGTACAAATGTTGCTATACCATGTTTTGGGTAACTATAATTTTATTGTTATGAGTTTATTAAATCTTCAAATGATCCATTTTTAAAGAAAATAACGAGAGTTGTAAGCCTCCACCTGAAATAGCAAATGGTGCTGTTGTCGATGGGTTATTGGCAAGTTATACAACAGGATCGTCAGTGGAGTACAGATGCAACGAGTATTTCTTATTGAATGGATCAAAAGCATCTCGCTGTGAACAAGGAAAGTGGTCATCTCCACCTGTTTGCTTGGGTAAGCAAGAGAACACATAATTGAATTTATGTTTGTAGTATTTTTATAAATAATGTTCACAGGAAAAAATGTTTTCTTATACAATGTCCCTGATTTATTTACATCCTAGTATGGATCTGCATAAGATTTGTGCACATTAATTTCATCATAAAAATAAACATAGCATATAATCGGTCATTTGGTGCATACTAAGTATACAGTCCACTGACAATATGTAAACTGTAATCAGGTTCTTTACGGGTAGTGCTCCCCCTAGCGTCAAGTTTCCCCTCTGTAGACATCACTATCTTACTTGTAGTGCTCTCAGATCACCACGGGGAGACAAGGGCATCTCTTTTCTGGTAGAGCACATTGCTGATGACTTTGACCCACTTCCTTCCTCCCACAAACGGGCACATTGGTTACTCTCATAGCCTTGTTTGAACTAACTGTTGTTGATGACTTAGAGCATCTATACAATAGTGTCATACACAAACATGAACACAATGCAAATGTGTTTTTATACTGTGCTTGTGACATGTTTTCTCCATGTAAAATGTAGAGTAAATCTGGTTTGATATTTTCATGTCTGCATAGTGTTCTGTAGTGTCTATATTCCATAAATAATTCAAATAATCACCTCATTGACATATATTGAGTGTTTAACATTTTTATATGACAATAAATTTTGCAGCAAAACATTTTGAACTTAAAATCCTTATATTTTCTTTAAAAGGTTACTTAACTTTATTTTTTCCTACTTTTATTTTCTTATTTTTTCATATTTCCTGAATTTATATTTCCACACCACAAATATAAATTTTTTTAATTGTACAATTATTCTTCAGATATTTGTTTCTGGTTTATAACTCTCCCATTAAAGAATTGAAATTACAATTTTCTTAAGCTTTGTTAAATTTTGGGTATTTTAATTAGCTTGTTATTGTTAATGTTATAATTAAAATAATTTTAATTTTGTTTATTTAAGTATATATTAAGCAGCTTTCAATTTTCTAGAGGCTCAGGTTTGTTGTTTACTGAATCATTTGTCATTATTTAGCTTTCATTTTCTTTCATGTTTAACATAGCAACATAATTTATATTAACCATTGAGAATCACATATATTGGAAATATTTTTCTTGATCTTATTTTTCTTATAATGTTTGAAAACATAGAAACCTTCAATTTTAGCCTAAGTTTTCACCCTTCAAGTCATTCTGAGTCACCCATCAAATCAAATACATCTTCAACTACAATTTTCTGTTGCTATTATATTGTCATAAATGCTTTGATATTGAATTTTTGATGATATGGTTGATATTTTGTTGAACTGAAATATAGCCTGTCTGAGGACAAAGACTAAATTAAAATAGCAGTGAAATAACTTCATAAGGAATAGCAAGATTAAGAAAAAATTCCATTTTGCTCCTGGAACAATTGTCATAACACATTCTGACCTAACAATAATGAACCAAAGCATTTATTGAGCAAGGGTCACCATTGTCAGCAGGCACTGGGGAGAGAGCACTAGCTTCTTGTTATCTGTTAGAATCATCAGTTCTTCCTCTGCAGATTCAAACAGATGCACGAGGGGTGCAGTTTTCCATCTGCATCAGAATGCAGACACGAGTCTCCCTAGCATCTCCTTGCCCATCTCCTCTTCCCACAATGCTTCAGCAAGACTGCTTTCTTTTTTTTTTTCCAATTTTTTTTATTTTAAATAGCTTGTTTTACATGTCAATCCCAGTTCCCTCTCCCTCCCCTCCTCCCGCATTCCCCTTTCCCCCCACCCTCCCACCCTATTGCCAAATCCTTCCACATAGGGGATATCAGAGTCTGTCATTTTACTCTGGGTAGGGTCCAGGCACTCCCCTAAGAGTCCAGGCTGAGAGAGCATCCCTCTTTGTGCTATAGGCACACTAAGACTGTTTGTATATCAGGGATAGACACTGATCCACAGCTCAGGGCCCCATAGGTTGCCCAGGCCTTCTCGCTGACACTCACATTTGGGGGGTCCAGATCAGTCCCATACTGGCCTCCTCACTGTCAGTCTGGGATCCAAGAGCTCTCCCCTGTTCAGATCAGCTGTCTCTGCTGGTTTTGCCAGCCCATTCTTTGCCAATTTGCACATCACTCCTCTCTCTCTGTCACTGGGTTCCTTGGGTTCAGTTCAGTGATTAATTGTGTGTTTGCCTCTGCTTCCATCAGTCACAGGATGAAGGCTCCCGGATGGTTATAGACATCAAGTTCATTATCAAGAATGGGCATTCGAGGTGGTCTCTCCACTATTGCTTAGCTTGCCAATTGGTGTTATCCCTTTAGATCACTCGAGGTCGCTCTGGTGCCTGATCTGTATTCGATCCTATGATTCCCTCTTCCCCCTATTCTACCCCCACCCCCTCAACTTCCTTTTCCCCCATGACCAACTCTCTTCCTTTTCACCCCCTCTCTTCTTCCCAGGTCCCACTCCGCCCCACTCCTCGCCGTGTTCCCCATCCATTCAGGGGATCTTGTCTCCATCCTCTTCTCTTGGGTACTATGCATATATGCATATTTTTTAGGTTCTTTCCTGTTTCCCAGACTCTCTATCAGTGGAAGTGCAAACTGGCACTATCCTGTTCCATGTCTAAAATCCATATATGAGTGAGTACATACCATGTTTGTCTTTTTGCGACTGGGTTACCTCACTCAGGATGGTTTCTTCCAGTGCTATCCATTTCCCTGCGAATTTCAAGATTCCATTATTTTTTTCTGCTGAGTAATACTCCATTGTGTAAATGTACCACATTTTCTCTATCCACTCTTCAGTTGAGGGGCATCTAGGTTGCTTCCAGGTTCTGGCTATTACAAAAAATGCTGCTATGAACATAGTGGAGCAGATGCCCTTGTTGTATGAACTTGCTTCATTTGGATATATGCCTAAGAGTGGAATTGCTGGGTCTTGTGGTAGATTAATTCCCATTTTCCTGAGGAATCTCCATACTGATTTCCAAAGAGGCTGTATGAGTCGGCACTCCAACCAGCAGTGGAGGAATGTCCCTCTCTCTCCACATCCTCTCCAGCATAAATTGTCTTCGGTGTTTTTGATTTTAGCCATTCTGACAGGAGTAAGATGGTATCTCAGAGTTGTTTTGATTTGCATTTCCCTGATGGCTAAGGATGTTGAGCACTTTCTTAAGTGTCTCTTGGCCATTTTAGCCTCCTCTACTGAGAATTCTCTATTTAGCTCTGTACCCCACCTTTTAATTGGATCCTTTGGTGTTTTGGAGACTTGTTTCTTGAGTTCTTTGTAAATTTTGGAAATTAGCCCTCTGTCAGATGTAGGGTTAGTGAATATCTTTTCCCATTCTGTGGCCTGCCTTTTTGTCTTTTTGACTGTGTCCTTTGCCTTACAGAAGCTTTTTAGTTTCAGGAGGTCCCATTTGTTAATTGTCGATCTCAGTGCCTGTGCCACTGGTGCTATGTTTAGGAAGTGGTCTCCTGTACCAACTCGTTGAAGAGTATCTCCCACTTTCTCTTCTAAAAGTTTCAGTGTGGCTGGATTTATGTTGAGGTCTTTGATCCATTTGGAGTTAAGTTTTGTACAAGGCGATAAACATGGATCTATCTGCAGTCTTCTGCATACCAGTACCCAGTTATGCCAGCACCATTTGTTGAAGATGCTTTCTATAATAGAGCTCGAAGTCAGGTATGGTGATGCCTCCTGAAGTTCCTTTATTGTATAGGGATGTTTTAGCTATCCTGGGCCTTTTGTTTTTCCATATAAAGTTGATTAATGTTCTTTCCAGGTCCTTGAAGAATTGTGATGGAATTTTGATAGGGATTGCATTGAATCTGTAGACTGCTTTTGGCAAGATTCCATTTTTATTATGTTGATCCTACCAATCCAAGAGCATGGGAGATCTTCCCATTTTCTGGTATCTTCTTTGATTTCTTTCTTTAAAGACACAAAGTTCTTGATATACAGGTCTTTCACTTCCTTGGTTAACATTATCCCCAGATATTTGATGCTGTTTTTGGCTATTGTAAAGGGTGATGTTTCTCTGATTTCTTTCTCAGTCACTTCATCATCTGTATATAATAGAGCCACTGATTTTTTTGAGTTTACCTTGTATCCTGCCACATTGCTGAAGGTGTTTATCAGCTCTAGGAGTAACCTTGCAGAGTTTTTTGGGTCACTTATGTAAACTATCATATCATCTGCAAATAGTGAAAGTTTGACTTCTTCTTTTCCTATTTGTATCCCCTTTATCTCCTTTTGTTGTCTTATTGCTGTAGCTAGAACTTCAAGTACAATATTGAAGAGATATGGAGAGAGTGGACAGCCTTGTCTTGTTCCTGATTTTAGAGGAATTGCTTTGAGTTTCTCTCCATTTAGTTTGATGTTAGCTGTTGGTTTACTGTATATTGCTTTTATTATATTCAGGTACGTTCCTGTTATCCCTGATCTCTCTAGGACCTTTATCATGAAGGGGTGCTGGATTTTGTCAAAGGCTTTTTCAGCATCTAGTGAGATGATCATGTGGTTTTTCTTTCGCAGATTGTTAATATGGTGGATTACATTGATAGATTTTCTAATGTTGAACCATCCCTGCATTCCTGGGATGAAGCCTACTTGATCATGGTGGATGATTTTTCTGATGTGTTCTTGAATCCGGTTTGCGAGTATTTTATTGAGTATTTTTGCATCAATGTTCATGAGGGAAATTGGTCTATAGTTCTCTTTCTTAGTTGTGTCTTTGTGTGGCTTGGGTATCAAGGTAATTGTAGCCTCGTAGAAAGAGTTTGGCAGTAAGCCTCCTGCTTCTATTGTGTGGAATACTTTGAGGAGTATTGGAATTAGCTCTTCTTTGAATTTCTGGTAGAATTCTGCACTGAAGCCATCTGGGCCTGGGCTTTTTTTATTTGGGAGACTTTTGATGACTGCTTCTCTTTCATTGGGGGTTATAGGTCTGTTTAGATTGTTTATCTGTTTTTGATTTAGTTTTGGCAAGTGATATCTATCCAGGAAATTGTCCATTTCCTTTAAATTTTCAAATTTTGTGGAGTACAGATTTTCAAAGTATGCCCTGATGATTCTCTGGATTTCCTCTGAGTCTGTTGTTATGTCCCCTTTTTCATCCCTGATTTTGTTAATTAGCATGCTCTCCCTCTGTCTTTTGGTTAGTTTGGACAGAGGTTTATCTATTTTGTTGATTTTCCTCAAAGAACCAACTCTTTGTTTCATTGATTCTTCTCAGTGTTTGTCTGGTTTCTAGTTGATTGATTTCTGCCCTCAATTTGATTATTTCCTGGCGTCTGCTCCTCCTGGGGGAGTTTGCTTCTTTTTGTTCTAGAACATTCAGCTGTGCTATTAATTCTCTAGTATGACTGTTCTCCAGTTTTTTCATGTGGGCACTTAGTGCTATAAACTTTCCTCTCAGCACTGCTTTCAAAGTGTCCCATAAGTTTGTGTATGTTGTGTCTTCATTCTCATTGAAGTCGAGGAAATCTTTAATTTCTTTTTTTATTTGTCCCTTTACCCAGGGATGGTGCAATTGTGCATTGTTCAATCTCCATGAGTTTGTAGGGTTTCTGCGATTTGTGTTACCGTTTAATTCTAATGGTAATGCATGGTGGTCTGATAAGATGCAGGGGGTTATTCCAATTGTTTGTATCTGTGGAGATTTGCTATTTCCTATTATGTGGTCAATTTTAGAGAAGGTTCCATGTGGTGCCGAGAAGAAGGTATATCCCTTTGTATTTGGGTGGAATGTTCTATAGATGTCTGTTAAACCCAGTTAGGTCATAACTTCTATTAGTTCTTTTGTTTCTTTGTTAAGTTTCTGTCTGGAGGTCCTGTCTAGCGGTGAGAGCGGGGTATTGAAATCTCCTACTATTAGTGTATGAGATTTTATGTGCATTTTGAGCTTTAGTAATGTTCCTTTCACAAATGTAGGTGCCTCTGTATTTGGGGCATAGATGTTTAAAATTGAGACTTCGTCTTGATGTATTTTTCCTTTGATGAATATGAAGTGTCCTTCTTCATCTCTTTTGATTGATTTTAATTTGAAGTCTAATTTGTTAGATATTAGGATTGCTACACCCGCTTGTTTCTTGGGACCGTTTGATTGGAAGATCTTTTCCCAACCCTTTACTCTGAGGTAACATCTGTCTTTGATGTTGAGATGTGTTTCTTGTGTGCAGCAGAAGGAAGGGTTCTGTCTTCGTATCCATTCTGCTAGTCTGTGTCTTTTTATAGGCATGCTAAGGCCGTTGACATTGAGAGATATTAATGACCATTGATTGGTGATCCTTGCTTGTGCTTGATTTATTGTTAGTGAAGTTATTTTGTGTAGTTTCTCCTCCCTTTTTCTTTTCGTGTTTTGTAAAGTGTCATTATATATTGCCTGTGTCTTTGTGAATGTAGTTATCTTCCTTGGCTCTAGGTTTTCCTTCTATCATTTTCTGTAGAGCTGGATTCATGGATACGTATTGTTTAAATCTGGCTTTGTCATGGAATATTTTGTTTTCTCCATCTATGGTAATTGAGAGCTTTGCTGGATATAGTAGTCTGGGCTGGCATCCTTGTTCCCTTAGCGTTTGTAGGACATATGTCCAGGATCTTCTGGCTTTCATCGTTTCCATTGCGAAGTCAGGTGTAATTCGGATAGGTCTGCCTTTGTATGTTACTTGGCCTTTTTCTTTAGCTGCTCTTAATATTTTCTCTTTACTCTGTAGGTTTGATGTTTTGATTATTATATGGCGAGGTGACTTCTTTTTCTGGTCGAGCCTATTTGGTGTTCTGTAAGATTCTTGTACTTTCATAGGCATATCTTTCTTTAGGTTAGGGAAGTTTTCTTCTATGATTTTGTTGAATATGTTTTCTGTACCTTTAAGTTGAATTTCTTCACCTTCTTCTATACCTATTATTCTCAGGTTTGGCTTCTTCACGGTGTCCCATATTTCCTGGATATTTTGTGTTAAGGATTTGTTGGTTTTGAGATTTTCTTTGGTTGACGACTCTATATCCTCTAATGAGTCTTCAACACCTGAGATTCTCTCTTCTATCTCTTGTATTCTGTTGGTGATACTTGCATCTGTAGTTCCTGATCGTTTACCCAGCTTTTCTATTTCCAGCATCCCTTCATTCTGTGTTTTCTTTATCGTTTCTATTTCAGCTTTCAATCCTTCAACTGTTTGAGTTGTTTCCTTCATTTTTTTGGTTGTTCTTTCTTGGTGCTCTTTAGATTCTTTGAGAGATTTGTTTATTTCTTGAATTTTTCCCCCATTTCATGGATTTTTTTGTTTGTTTTTTCTTCTATTTCTTTAAGGGATTTCCTCGTTTCTTCTTTGAGGGTCTCCATCATCTTCATGAAATAATTTTTAAGGTCTGTCTCCTCTTCTTCGTCTATGTAGTGCTTTTCGGGTCTTGCTGGTGTTGGGTCCCTGGATTCTGGTGGGGTCATGTTGGTGTTTCTATTGCTGAGTGATCTCTTATTCTGTCTTCTTCCCATCTCTTCTTTCAGTGGGTGCTGGTGGGGTCTTTCTGTCTCCACTGGTCTCCTTCCTTCCTGCAGCTGAAGCTGGGGATGCTGACACGGAGTTTGGGTCCTGGTAGGGCTGATGTCTTTCCTGAAGCTGGTCTCACTGGGGTTGGGGTCTTGGAATTGTTGACTTCTTTGCTGTGTGGGCAGGTCTCCTGAAGCTGTACTCGCTGGGGTTGGGGTCTTGGAAGGGCTGATGTCTTTCCTGAAGCTGGACTCACTGGGGTTGGGGTCTTGGGAGGGCTGATGTCTTTCCTGAAGTTGGACTCGCTGGGGTTGGGGTCTTGGAGGGGCTGATGTCTTTCCTGAAGCTGGACTCGCTGGAGTTGGGGTCTTGGAGGGGCTGATGTCTTTCCTGATGCTGGACTCGCTGGGATTGGGGTCTTGGAGGGGTTGATGTCTTTCCTGAAGCTGGACTAGCTGGGGTTGGGGTCTTGGAGGGTCTGATGTCTTTCCTGTGTGGGCAGGTCTTCTGGATGCAGGGAGGCCCAGAAGATCAAGGGGGATGGGGGAAGGGCGGGCGTTCCCGCTGGAGACCAGACCCAATCTCACCTGAAGCTGGACTCCTGGGGTTGGGGTCTTGGAGGGGCTGATGTCTTTCCTGTGTGGGCGGGTCTTCTGGATGCCGAGTGGCCCCGAAGATCAAGCTATTTAAAATAAAAAAATGTTTAAAAAATGTTCTTTCTTGCTGGGCCTTGCGGCACACGCCTTTAATCCTACCACTCAGGAGGCAAAGGCAGGCAGATCTCTTTGAGTTCGAGGCCAGCCTGGTCTACAGAGTGAGTTCCAGGACAGCCTCCAAAACAATATAGAGAAACCCTGTCTTGGAAAAAAATGTTCTTTCTTATTTATGCCCCTCCAACAGCTCTGTTGCCCTAACCCCAATCCAGCTCTGAGTTCTGCGTGGGCTTCCTATCCAAAGGCTCTCAGCTAAGTGCCTCCAAGGCTGAACTCCCCAGGTCAGAAACCCCAGTAGCAATCATCCCCATATATTACCTGAGAACACTTACATCCTAGGGGAAAGTTATAAAAATAATCAATTCCTTATGCCTCATGGACTCCTGTACTTGTCTGTGTGCTGAGACCTGGAACCAAGTGAGTCCTCAATGTGGTGGTCAGTGTGGAAAAGCCCCTCAGTTCCTGTATGTGTCTCTGTGCATTTTACTTTTTCATCTGACATGGATGTATGAGCTCAAATAACTATGAACATCAATTGTATAATATTATTTTAGATGTCTATTGTCATTTTTATTTTAAAATATATTACTCACATATTTGTCAGATTGCTGATAATTTAAAGAGAGAATTTTGTTTTGCAGAGCCATGTACCATTGATGAGGATCACATGGACAGAAATAACATACAGATGAAGTGGAAATTTGAGGGCAAAATTTTACATGGAGACCTAATAGATTTTGTGTGTAAACAGGGATATGACTTGTCCCCGACCACCCCGCTGTCTGAGTTGTCCGTGCAGTGCAATAGAGGAAATGTAAGATACCCCGTGTGTGTTCAAAGAGGTAAAGAATAACATTAGACATGTTGCTTGATTGGTGTCTTCTAACCACAGTTGAACTTGACCTAGTTTTCTGTTCTAGTCAGCATACATACTCCCAGAGGATGACTATGCCAAGAGATTTCCACTGAATGAGTATTTGTGAAGGGAAAATGGAGAGGTTTCATAAATAACCTCATACTGCCCAAGGGTTGATTTTCCTTATGCAAAAGCTCTGTAAAGCTTCAGTTTACTCAGGATTTTCTGGGAACCTTTGTCTCAAGAAAGGATTTAGGGCAGAATATAAGAGATTTTATTTATTCCATTGACCTGGGGGCTATTTCTTATAATGTGTGAAAAGCAAGAAAATGCATATGGGAGCCATATGCTCTTGGCTTGAATAGAGGAGACAATATTAAATCCTATTGTTAATATTTTGTTAGTTGTAAATATGCATTAAATTTGCACAGCATGAAATTTAAATTACAATAATACATTATGTAGTACTGTATTTATTGCAGGATTATCTTCATTATTAGAAGGCATTGATCAACACCTTAATAATACTTTTAAATAGGTGGAATATATTTTATTTATGTAGCAATCATCAAATCCTGAAGGTTCATTGTAGCAATTGTTTTAGTCTGTAAAATTTTTTTCAGAATCTGGAGGGATGTGTGCATCTCCTCCCCTGATAAGAAATGGAGACATTGTCGGTTCAGCAGGCAGCACCTATGAAAATGGCTCCTCAGTAGAATACCAGTGTTTTGAAAACCATTTCCTACAAGGGTCAAGGGAGGTCTATTGTGTAGATGGAGTGTGGACTGCACTGCCACTGTGTTTAGGTAGGTACTGCTAAACACCACTCTCTTTCACTGAGCCATTGAGAGGTGATGTGACATAGACAAAACAGTTTATTTTCTTTACTTGTTTTATTGATTTTTCCTATTCAACCACTAGCTTCCGATTTTCCTCTGTGTTCTGAATAACTGTAATCCATTTACACTTACAAATGCTTATTAAGTATGAACAGTGTGTTACATACTAATCTGATGTTATGTTTTAAGATGACTAAGCCATAGTGTCATATTATTCAAATTATTATTCAGTGTAATTGATGTTATAACACAAAATTAAAAGAATATATACATGTTTGAAATTGTCAAATAGCGAAATTATTCATTTAAAAAATGCAAAAAGATTGTCAGACAAAGGTAATGCTAATAACGTCTCCAGGCCTTAAACTGTATGTGGAATAGTGGCATAGCACACTATTACAATATGTGGCAGGATAAAACAATGTGCAAGTGTCCCAAGGCCTGAAGAATAAAAGAATGAGTTTCTAACAAATCTCAGAAACCAAGGTTTCATGATATGTGTCTTATTGTCAGTTACCAGAAGCAACACTGTGAAATATTTATACATTTGAAGTTTTTCTCATTTAATTCTTTTAGTTTTTCTTTTGTATAATGATTCTGTTTTCTTAGATGCACACACACACAAAAGCAGCTAAAGTATTGCTGGTTGCCCTATGTGATTTTACAACAGTACTCCATCAATAAAAATGCTTTGCTTTTTAAATTTGTCTTGTGGTCAACCTTCCTATATTATAGAACCAGCTTTTGAAATTTATTTTTTATTTAATTTTTTCATATTTTGATCATTTTCATTCTTCCTCTCACTCAGCCTCACCAGCACCCCCACCATATCCTTACACACTGTCTTTTGTTTTTTGTTCATCTTTTGTAACTTTTATGGGGGAGAGAAAGGAGAGAGAGACAGAGACAGAGAGACAGACACAGAATGAGACACACAGAGAGACAGACAGAGACAGGGAGAGAGAGAGACAGAGAGACAGAGAAAAGTACATTAGTTTATGCAGTAAATAGTTTTTCATGTTTTGATTTTTTCAGGCCTCTGGATTTGTATTTTAAGTGTATTTCCTACATGCAATATACAGTTGGTTTATTTCAAAACATACTTATGCAATCTGATAATGTTTTCTTTGTGGTAAAATATTTAAATCATTGGCATATACAATGTACTTACTGACACATTGGAATTATAGCAGTCATTTACCACATTCACAGGTATTCTGCCTGTTCTATAGTCTTTTCTCTGAACTTAGGGATAAATTATCTTTTTTTGTTGTTTTGTTTTACGATCTTACTGTCCATGGGTTTGCTTGTGCTTTTCTCTGAGATCTGATGTGAATTATTCTTTTATTTCTTCTCTAAGACTTTAGGACCCTTTATGTTCGTTGAATTTTTCTGCACACTGTGTTAGTGTGCTCTGTTTTCTAGTTCTGCATGTGGTTTAAGGCCTGGAGATACTGACTGTAGTGATTTTGTCTGATAATCTTACTTCTTTTTTTGTGTGGTTAAGTTAGTTATTTGGGAGTTTCATTCGTGGGTATGCTGTATTCTTATTACTGTTACTCACCTCTTTCTTACCTCTCTCTCAGGTCTATCATTCCCCTTGTTCCTGCAAGTCCCTTTCTCAGATTCATGATGTTTAGTCTTGTAACTCATTTAGTTTAACCAGGGCCATCTGTGTAACTATTACATTGAAATATCTACTGGAGTCTGGTGGGGCCATCATTTGGTATACAACTAAAGGCAAGAATTTCCCTTCTTTCTGAATCTCTCAGCAGCAAATAGTCCAGCAGTGAGGGGCAGAATCACAGAGGGTTGCCTCCATCAAGCCTGACTATTGGTGGGCTCATCCTTGTACACTCAACTCAAGTACCAGTAGCTGCTGTGAGTGTAATTGCAATGGCCATGTCCTGCCCAGGAGATGACATTTGAAGCTCTTCTCTCTATTTTTCATGTCCTACATTCTTTCTACACCCCCTTCTATAATACTGGCTAGGTCTGAGAGGGCCTGGTATAAATGACTTATTTAACACTGGGTACTCATCCATCCATTTTTAGCACCTCAGAACCTCATAATCACTGGTGTCTGCATGTACAAACATTCACTGGAAAGGAAGGATTCTTTGATTTGGTCTGAAAGCAGCATAAGTGTAATGTTTAATTTATATTAAATGTTAATTATCTCAAATGAACTAAAATTTAATCAGAGTTCAGTTAGTTACTCCATAACAGTATTGCTACATTCTTACAAATTGGCACATCTTATTTAGTAAGTTGTTAAAGATCATGGAATTATAGCTGGTTGAGACCATTCACTTCCCTTCCATCAGTCTGCATTACATCTTATATGAGTATGAATGCTGACCAGTAGGGAGGAAGTTCCAAGTTCAGTTCTAGCTTGCATTTGCTGTATAATGCACCCAAGGTATGTGATGTTCTGAGCAATAAGGTCTTCTCGAGTTCTGGTAGGCCACCATGAGGGATGACAACAGTTGTGTAGAAGTATCTGTGTATTTACTGATATCCCGTGTTCCATCCTTTCTTGTCTCGATCTGCTCCTTACTGGCCCATGACTTTCCCAGCCATAGACTTTCTTTCAACCAGAATTACAAAACTAGCCAAGAATCAGGATTCAATCCAATCAGAAAGCAGCTAGTGGCTGGGCGTTGGTGTCACATGCCTTTAATCCCAGCATTTGGGAGGCAGAGACAGGTGGATCTGTGAATTAGAGGCCAGCCTGGTCTGCTGAGTGAGTTCTACCACAGGCTCCAAAACAATACAGAGAAACCCTGTCTCGAAAAACCAATACAAACAAACAAACAAACAAACAATGAAACAAAGCAGCTAGTAACCCCAAACAGTCTCACCACTAATAAACCAGTGCACCTATGTGGTTGTACTCAGAGTTGAGAAATGGCTAAGCCTGCTGATGTGTCTCTCTCCCCGAACCATGAATAGCACCTTTTGACACTATGAAAAGTTTAGCTACTATCTTTCTATTTCTACAATATGTGTTTTAAATATTCTTTGGTAGATTTCACTTTCTCATCAGACATTAATTTTTTTATACAAGGTTTTTCTGTGTAGCTGTTAGTTTCCTGGGACTCACTCTGTAGACCAGGTTACCTCAAACTCACAAAGATCTGGCTGCATCTGCCTTCCACAGTGCTGGGATTAAAGGTGTGCCCCACCAGTGCCCGGCTAGACATCAACATTTTTGACCATAGTTATCAAGCATCTGTCCAAGTCCCTATCCACAAAGACACAAATCCATACCATCTTGTCAGACTACATCTATTTCTCAGCCTAATTTCTCATTACTTGTATAGTAATTGATTGAATAGCAAATGCTATATGTGAGCAAATTTAGGAGTTTAGTACTGTGTGATATTATTCCATGGAATACTTGTTCCATCCTCTGTCTAGAGGTTAGGATTGAGGTAGCTGGGCTTGATCCAATTAGAATTGGGAAGGAAGATGCTTTATTTTCTATGGTTATATGCTGAAACATTCGTTTCTAGGCCTCCTGCTAGACTGACAATGGTATAGGTGAAGAATACCAAATACGCAATGCAGTTTTTAATCAAACTAGCATGTCTCACACATCCTCCTGCAACAGCCACAAATCGATGAATACTTCAAAGGGGAAAATAAAAAGCTTAGAGGGTCATGCTCACTTAGCCTCAGTTTGAGCCTTTAAGTCCATTCATGCTTCTTTCTGCTCTCATCCCTGTGAGATTGTTGGAAACTTTGTTATGTGCCTGTTATTGGTCATTTTACGCTGTGCCTCTCAGCTGAACTGAGAATCAAAACCTCACCAAATAATTTTTTTCAGTACCTTCAGCTCACTGGCTGTCTATGTGAGTCTCAGACGCCCTGGAATACTTACAGCTTTAATTTGCCTTTCAAATGTTTTAGTTTTTGGTACATTTTTGTCTTATATCAGGCACTTGATTATAGGTGAGTGCAGGATCTGTTTTAAATAAAACCACATGATTTATAAGACAGTCCTATTTGGGGAATGTCTCTGGAATCACTTCTTTGATACCACTAAGAGCAGAAGAGAGGAGATATATTCACAAATGGACAGAGCTGGGATAGATCCAGAAAGACTTCAATTCCAAGTCTACTTTGCATTCTCCTTTTGTATTCTAAAACTAGAAGGCAGGGTGAATGGGCAAGCCGGTGGACTTTTCAGAAGCATAAGCAGCAGCAAACTTGGGGACTTTTGCTTTCAAAGGCATGTTATCAGCTGGAAGGTGTAAGCTTTTGTGGTCAGGTGTCTAAGGGTGATAACCAATTGTGTTTCATCTATTTTCAGGTTATTCTCTTCTAGGTAGCAAGGTGAAGTCATATTTGGCAATAAACAATACAAGCAAATCACTAAATATATCAATAAATCAATATCTAATAATTGATGTTTTCTACCTTATTCTACTTCAATACTAATTTAAATTACAATTCACTTTGACCTAAATTAAATAATATTTAATGGAGAGCCTGAAGATTATAAGGTCCCTTTCCAATCATTTTTCTTTAACATATTGCTTGTAGTATTCCCACAAAGCAGTTGACCTGTAGATACTCAATGAATTCTTTAAGAAGTATCTGAATAAATATACTTGTTGTTTATTAACAATCTGTGGTTTATATATTACATTAGCAACTCTGGAAATCTTAAATTTATATCAGATGAATTTAATTGGTTTTACATCATCAAGGAAGGTAATGAGATGCAGGGAACCCTATTTTGAAAATAGTTTACTTTTTGAAAATTATCAAAATGCTACTTTATTGTGGGGAAAATCAGATACTTACCTACTATACTTGTTCAATTTTTCCTTATTTATGTTAATATATAGTTGTAGGAAAACCTGAACATTTCATTGCTTAGGATTTAAAATGTAATTTAATCTCCATACTTCTCAATTGGAAATGCAAAAAAGGGAAAATTGTCAACTGCTTTGGACAAAGATAGGTTAGAACATTTGCTGAGCTAGTGTTAAAAATCTAGCTTGTTTCTACATTGCCACCTTATTAGTAATTAGTGGATTATCTTGAAAACTTTATATATACATAATATTTAAAGAAATATTATAAATGATGCAAATGATTTTATGGTATCAGACTTCTGACCTTTTTGAAAATACTATAAAATGGAAATTATGTTTGTAATGGACTCTGCATATTAAAAATTAACTAATGACAAAGTATATGTCATATTCACTGCAGGCAATGAATTAGCTCAAGGAACCATAGGAGGACAATGTATACATATGTATATACACATATGCGTGAGATTGCTGGGGTTTGAACATAGGACAAGGTCTTACCCTTTATCGCTGAGTGACCCCTCAGACATGTTATTTAAACTTTCTGAAGAAACAAAGGAAACGGACTATAAATGAATGTTTATAACTATCTATGCATAGTCTTTGACTCAAGCACCATGGTAGTGAATGTCACACAGGTTCCTTTTGGAACCAAGAGTGACCATATTTTCTAACTCCCAACAATAATTCTAGCTAATTAGCTTGTGTATCTCTGGAGTATAAGGCCATCCCATATAGGCAACATTGAAAGTGCTGTTAGTACAGGATGTATCAATGTAGTTTTAATCTTAATTTCTTGTGTTTATCCAGAGCCTTGTCCATTATCATTTGCTGAAATGAACAAGAATTATTTACAACTGAAATGGAGTTTTGACAATAGACCACTCATTCTCCATGGAGAGTATATTGAATTTATTTGTAAGAGAGGTGCATACATAACTGAGACATCTATTACTGGGTCTGAACTTCGAGTGCAATGTGACAGAGGAAGGCTGAAATATCCAAAGTGTACAGAAAGACAAGGGTAAGAAAATGTACCTATGATATTTTTGCCAAGTTTTATTCAAGACAGTCACTATTTTATGAATTCCATCAATATTTTGCTCAGCAGTACTTTGTCTTTATGTCTCTTGGAAAGGAAAATCATATTTTCTTCACCTCTTAAACCCATACATGCTAGAAGCTTTTGAGTTTCATGGAGCCAGATTGCTGTTTACCATGTGATATCTGTGATACCTTGACAGTTGGAAAAGAAATCCATTTGTATGCATGATATTTGAATGTGCCAAACTTAACTCAGTTTTTAAATAAGAAAAAAAGTACATTTATCAAAGTTCTTCCTGGTAATAAGTTCATGTCATGTACAATGGAATTTTGGAAATATGTGTTCAACTTCAGATGATGAGCCAACTCTGAGAACTACACAGTGATGGTCTTTCAAATGTATTTATGTTTCTATACAAATGCTTAGGATGCTCACCTAGAAATGCTTCTTATGTTTAGTGTTATGATAAAATCAGAGCGGAAGAGTTCTGTATAATGCTAAATCTTTGATAAATGGGTCACCCTTTCCAAGAGGAGAAAGTAGCAAATAATTTGGAGAAATTATATACCTGGTGCTATTTAACAACACTTATAAACAACATTAAGTTTTCCAAACAGAACCAACAGGATGCTTTATTAAGCACAGTTGCCTACTCTAGCTGGTTCCTACTTAAGGCGTTGCTCACACAAAAATGTTTAGTGACTAGAATTGTAACAGACACTGAATTATTACTAACATTGTGTTACATTCTCTTTCTCTCCCTTTCTCATCAAGGAGTCTGTCTTTCCAAGATGCTTTACAGAATTAAAAACAAATGGAAAGAAGAGAAAGAGTATTTCAGCATGAATCCTGCATAAAATAAGTTGAGGAAGACTGTGCAGAGTTCGGTGTTCTGAGGCTTTACCTCTACATAAAAATGTACTCAATATTTTCCTTATTTATAAATCAAAGCAAAAATGTGTTTCATTTTAGTTTGATTTCACATTTAACCTGGACTTTATTGTATCTTTCACCTGTTTAATTTGATTTATCCATCAAATCATTCCTGTTTCTTATTGATCGTTGCTAGACTATATCGTTTTCTTGAGTTTATATGGAAAATACATGTCTTTGTTATATTCATTAAAATTAAGGTTTTCTGTCACTTTTAATTCAATATTTGTATTAATATCAGAGACACACACACTGGAAATAAGGCGGCTGACATGATAAAGTGGAAGAGTTACTTTACAAATTGAGGAAGAGACTACTTTTGAAAATGTAAACAACTTTTAAAATGAACTCTAATGATAATAATCAAATTATAGTGCAGTGTACTACCTACTTGTCCAAATAATGACTTTTGTTGTTGTAATAGTTTATACTTTCGTCACAATATCTTAAGGTCAGATAGTTGTTGGAGTCACACAGACTATATATTATGAAAGTGGAGTTTCCATAGGCAAGGTGATCATCTCAGTTACTTAGTTTAGTGGGTCACCTGAAATATCAGCACTGCTACCGTCTTTTACAAATAAGGGTTATATTTTCAGTTGTGGCTTCTGCTCACTCACAGGAATGTAGCATTATTGTTAGGATCATGATGTCCCCGTTAGAACTGGCTGTTAGTATAAGAGCACCATTAGCCTGTTCATTTTCCTCCAGATGTTAGTTTCTTATTTACATGGCATTATCTAACCCCTGCCCCCAACATTACCATTCTGCATCTTTTGACTTGTTATTGCAAAGCCAACTCAATTGATTCCTACTTCTGGAGATATGAGAGAATGAAATGAATGAGAATGGATGCTCATAAAGTGATGACACAAAGGCAAGTATGCTCTGCTTAGTGATTGGGGATAGAGTGGGGAACAAGAAAAGGAATAACTGGATTGACTCAGTGACGATCAGTGGTGATGAAACTAAAAATGCTGTTGTATGGTCTGGGTTGCCTCACAGGAAACAGGACTGTTGTAGGCTGGAGGACAAATATAAGGCACAAAAACTAAGACATGAATGTGAATTTGTCAGGAAGTGGGGCCACAAATGAGGACAGAGGGATGGGGATAGTGGGGACCTTTTGAAATAATAGGAGAAATATGAACACATTAACATTAAATAGGATTAGTAATGAAAGACATGTAGAAAATTCTGGATAGCCTGGCAGTGTTGGTGCCAGAGGCACACAGATCTCTGTGAGTTCAAGACCAGACCAGACCAGACTGGTCTACAGAGCAAGTTCCAGGACAACTAAGGCTATACCGAGAAACCGTCTCAAAAAAATCAAAACAAAACAAAACAATAATTTTGGGGGTAAGTATCACATAGAATATTGTAAAGAGTTTCTGGAAAAACAAGAACAGACACATCAAAAGTACAAGGGTATGAATGACCTTCATGGGAAGGTATAATGGAAGTATGGCTGGATGAGGGCTGTTACATCCTATGGTTTCTGTTTGTTCTGTGAAAAAAAAGATACATTACCTAATGAGAATGGGGCGTGATCATAGATGGCACGGGGGTGGGGGGGAGAAATTCAGAGAAGCCTGATCTAAAGTCAGGTAATGTGGTACATTGAAATCGTTTCAGTGAATGATCACAGATGGGTAAATGTTGAAAATAATGTTACAATAATTGTAATTTGCTATTCAAAGATCACTGTGTTCTAAGTTACATCAAGAAGAATATGGAAAAGCAAACTTCACTTAGTTAATTTACCATATTTGTAGTACAAGGATAAAAGATCAAAGAACCACTAACATGGTGATTACCCAGTGGTATAATAAAGTGTAGAAGGTATGGCTCAGTTCTTCACAGAGAAACTTAAAAATTTCAAGAAGAAATTAAGAATTCATTGACATCTACCATTTTCTTCATATAAAGAAAGATCAAAAGACTAGAGAACATTATATATTAAAACTGTGCTCAGGAGAACTCAGCTTGAGTCCTTTAATGAAAAGTGAGGAAAATGTGGCTCTAATAAGTCTAACCAAGTTGCTGGAGAGATGGCTCGGTGGATAAGAGCACTGGCTAATCTTCCAGAGAGCCAGACTAAAGTTCCTGGCATCTACATGGTGACTTACAGCTGCCTGTAACAACAATTCCAGGGGATCCTGAGCTATCTTCTGGTTTCTGCAGGTTCTGAAAGCATTGTGGTTCACATTCATATACATATAATTATGTGTAGACACATGCATGTCAAATAAATAAATTAACCTTTTTTTACATAAAGATTGGCAGACAATGTAAAAGTCGCCTCCCTATAGATCCCCAACAATCATCCTTGTTTCTTCCAAAGATGTACACAAATAGAATCTTTCAACTTTGTCTCTCCTGCATACTCTGATTTGTGCTGCCTGTTCCAGTGATGACTGTTTTTGTGTAGTTATTTCTGTCATTTTGTACCCAAGACAACAGGAGGAAAACTCACTCTTCCCATAACGTTCCAATTTCCTAAAACAATTGAACAACAAAATCTGTAACTTTTGTATTTTAAAAAACTTATTGTCTATCAAAGTTAATACTCTCTTTTTGTAATGGATACTTTAAAATTGCTTTTTGAAAAGTTCATACAGGAACACCGCTCTTACATCAATACTACCTTTCCCTGTCTAACTCTTCCTTTGTCTGGCCCCCATTCACTCTCACATTCATGGTCTTCTTTTACTATTTATAGAAGTAAGCGAGTTACCCCAAGAAAGGATTGTGAATACAAATGACGACAGGAATGCCACATTTTTATTCTAACTTTGATTGAAAAATAACAACATTTCAAGGACTCTTAATATGTCTTGTTCTTGTTTCAGGTACAGATTTCTGTGTTTCATTGATGTACAGTTGTCAAGAAAGAATTATTTTCTAAGTATAAGACAAAATGAACCATCAAGTAAAAAAGAGGCATAAGAGTTGTTGTATAGAGTATGTTTTTGTTTGTGAAGATTAAAGACAAGAAGGAATGCTTACTCAGATGAGAACGGAAGATGGATGGTAGAGTCATTTTAATACCAGTACTTGGAAGGTGGAAACAGGTGGATCTCTGTGAGTTCAGGGCAGCCTGGTCTACAAAGTGAGTTCCAGGACAGCCAGGATTGTTTCACATAGAAATCTGCGACCCCCAGAGGGGACCCCCGACCCGTGGGGATGAGGTGATGAGGGTCGCTACTAATTTGGTGGGCCTTCACGAGCAGATCCGATCTTAAAAGTAAACTTCAAGAGGTTAAGGGAAGCAGGCTCAAGACAACGTTCGCTGATCAAGAGCGTTTATTTTTGGGGCAAGCTGGTACTTATAGAGGAAGAACCTCAGGGGGTGGTACAAGCATGTCAATCAAGTCTCAACTCAAATATACACCAAATACGGTAAAGACAAAGCTATAATTTTCCATCAGTCATCAGTCGCATTCCACAAATGCTTGTCAGCATAAGTCAGGTGCAGGAATTAGGGAGGAGTAGGAAGTATTCAAAGGAACACTTTAATCTTTTGTTAAGAAAGACAATTGCTCTATAAGGGTTACTTCCCCCTGGCTAGGTGGGTGGGCTGCCCTGTGTAAATTTTACTTTTATGGTTAGCCTTTTCCTTTGTCTCAAGGACATGTGTGCTCGCAGTCACATAGGCAGAAGGCCAAGATATGGTTGACAGACTCCATTTTGTTAAAGGTTCTAGCAGTCCCCAACAGAAATCCTGTGCCAAAAAACCAAAAAGAAAAAAAAACAGATTATGGATGATTTCAACTCAAGGAAATAGCAAAACACACACACAAAAGACAACCCCAAAACCAAACAATCCAGAAAGCTCAAATGAGTTTCAGAAGGTTCAAGTGAGGCATCAACAGGATCCTGAGATAAAACCTAAAGATGATTAATTTTACCAAAATTACAGGATATTAACATTTCCCCCAAAGTCAGATATTATTGATGTTTGTTTCATCAGTCAATTTCCTCAGGAATTAGGTGTAAACTTCATTGGAGGTCAGACTCTTCAACTTAACTTAAATTTGGTTTTTCTCATTCACAATAACAGAGGCAAAATGAAGGGACTACAAAAAGGCCCAGGGAAACAATTGTATACCCAAGAACAACACTACCCATAATTAAAACACCTTAGAAAAAATACAAGGCTAAACGAAACAGATCTTTTTTTATATATGTTTTTATTTAAATTAGAAACATGAATGCTTCATATGTCAATCCCAGCTCCCTCTCCCACCCCTCCTCCCTTGTCCCTTCACCAGCCTCCCTAACCCCCCACCCAATCTCCACACCATTCCCCAGGGAGGGTGAGGCCCTGCATGGGGGGATCTCCGGAGTCTGTCATTTCATCCAGGGAAGGACCTAGGCCCTTCCCCATGTGTCCAGGCTGAGAGACCATCCCTTCATGTGGAATGGACTCCTAAAGTTCATTCACATGCCATGGTAAACACTGATCTACTAACCAAGGCCCCAGAGATTGCTGAGGCCTCCTCAATGACACTACATTCAGGGAGTCTGGATCAGTCCCCTGCTGGCCTCACAGCCATCTGTCTGGGGTTCAAGAGCTCCCCCTTGTCCAGTCAGCTGTCTTTGCAGGTTTCAACAGCATGATCTTGACCCCTTTGCTCATCACTCCTCCATCTCTGTCACTGGGTTCCAGGAGTTCAGTTCAGTATTTAGCTGTGGTTATCTGCCTCTGCTTCCATCAGTCACTGGATGAAGGTTCTAGCATGGCATATAAGGAAGTCATCAATCTTATCATCATGGAGGAGCTATTATGTAAGTCTCTCCACTATTGCTTAGTTTGCCAGTTGGTGATATCCTTGTAGATCTCTAGAATTCTCACTAGTGTAAGCTCTTTCCTCAAACCTATAATGACTCCATATATTATGATATCTTTCATCCTGCTCTACTCTATTCTTACCACAACTCAACCTTCCTGCTTCCTCATGTCTTCCTCTGCCCTCCTCTTCTCCCCCTCTTTTTCCCCGGTTTCCTCTCCCCTTCCCCCATGTTCCCAATCTGCTCATGAGATCTTGCCTCATTCTACTTCTCTGGGTTATCATGCATCTCTCTTGGGAACCTCCCTGTTTCCCAGACTCACTGGCAATGGG